TGATTAATTATTTTTTATTTATTTTCAGGAAATGTCAATAAAAGAGCCCAAGACCAAATAGATGGAATAGCCTTTTCAGTTGGTGTCCATACGACTCTGAGGCAGTTCCATTCTTATTTGAACAGAGATTTTATAAGGCATTTGAGCAATTATACTTTACAATTGACCAAACATAACAGCAGGTGAGATTTTAATTTATTTACTATTTAGATGTAAAAATATTTATCTAATAAATATGAGATTCGGCATTCAGATAATTAGTTCCGTTTTGGTGTGGGAGAAACCTTTTTCAAAAGAATTTCCAACGATTATTGCAACTTCTTTAAAATATCGTTTTTACCGATTTTATAATTTTCCCATTGGCGAACGGGAACCCAAAGGCGGATTACGCTATAAACGGGATATATATATATATATATATATATATATATATATATATATATATATATATATAATTTTTCCACATAACTTCTAAGGCCAAATCAGACAGACAGACAGATAGACCGCGCAAAACTAAAAGATCGATTTCTTTATTATAAATCTTTATTTTGAACCAAAAAAAAAGCAAAACGCCTAAAAAGCAACGTTATAGTTCACATATAGAGAGTAAACTTTTCACTTAATCGTATGGCAATCCGTTTGGCACAAGTTCAAAGGTTTTATAATATCACTTCTTATATGGTCAGCAGATAATGTTGGAGCTAAGGCATTACTTAACTTAGGGAAGACATTCAGGTTCTTTCCAATGGTTAATCGTTAAGGGACAATTAAGACACATCTGAACTCAACAAACTCTACGTTTATTCCAAGCTCATTGAACACAAATATGCATTTCCATGACATCTTCCATCACTACATCTCTCCATTTCTTTCCTGGTCTTCATCTCTTTTTTTGCAATTAGTTACTCTCTAACCAATATTCTTGACTTGTCTATTACCTTGTATGCAAGATAATTGCAATACTTGTATAATACAAAATGTTGACCCAAAAAAATTTAAACCTTATCACAGAAAAGTTTCCTATGCGCACCTATCAGGTACATCAATAAAACAATACTGGAGTAATTTTTTGTGGTTAAAAGCAACGTTTCTGTATTTTGGATTCCATCCATGTATCAAAAATACAGGAATATACCCCAAATTTCTAAAGTAATTAGACAATCGATGTAACATTGGGAGTAAATACTTTAACCTTTAAAACAGTTTTTTATAAAAACATTTCCTTGTTACTTGAACCATAAATTATCTTTTTTATTTTTAGCCTAAAAGCAACTGATCTTCTTCCCGAAGTTAGTATAGCATTAAAATTCATGGAAAGCTATACAAATTACTCAGAAGAAACCAGAAAATTTTACAGAGAATCTTTACCACCGGAAATACTTCATATCCAACAGACTTTATGTCCAACGACTTCTTAGTGATGATATTTATAACAGCATTAGCTGAATAAAGTATTGACATGTTAATATTGTAAAATAACTATTTATATATATTTAAAAGATTCTATTTTATACTTATTATTGTTATAAAATTGTTATGAGTTATGTATCTCATTAGGTTTAATTAATTACTGTATTAATATATTTGAGAGCAGAAGTCTTATGTTTGTATTCTTTGGTGTATCCCCAGACAATGTCTTCGATAATGGTAGAAAGGTGTCCCAAGCTATGGAGGAGTACATTCAAGAATATCATATATGTGCTAATATAAGAATGCAGACTACAAAGAATCAGCTGTGGGTACGTTAAAATCGTCGAAAAACTAATATTTACAGTGACAAGCAGTTAGATATACTGGGTTCAGTGAACCTACCTAGTAAATAGGTAGGTTCACAACTTTATTTTAAAATAAGTTTATTTTTGGCGTTTCAATTTCCACTTAGGAAGTTGTTCTCAAATACATGAATTTGTAAAAAAGACACTATCACCTAAATTTTAACTGTTATTTTTCTAAAATTTGTGTAGTACCAAGTGTGTAGTAAATTTATTCAACAAAATAAGACTACACCAATTAAAACAAAGATTTAAATGTTTATTTTTGAATGTGTTAGTAAATTTTAAGTTAGTAATTGTAATTTGTTGGTAAGATTGTTATTATTTTTTCAATTAAATATGCAGTTATCTTCAGCTATTTATAAAGTGTGATCTCAGTTCCAACTGTCTAGTAAATTGCATGGAAATTGCTAATGTTACAACAGAAATGTTGTGCCAAGAACAAGAAGTCTACAGTCTACAAACTATCGAGTCAACTAAAAACAGAAAGCTCTAATTTCGTAATAGAGTATTTGAACTGAAGTTAGGTATTGTATTGTATTATATGGTATAATAAAGCTCTCAAGACGCTTACAAATTGAAGAAATATATAAGATAAATAAAAAATAACTGCTATTAACAGATGTAGAACTGGTGTGAAAACGGAATTATTAGAAGAAAGGGTGGTTAGTCAAATAACGAGAGAGAGTTAGTTGTAGCAAGGAAATATTTTAAGTATCGCATAGTGGAAACGCCAGGGTACATCGACAGGAATGTTAATTTAAAGAGACCAGATCTTCCACTTCAGGGATTCATATCTAGTTTTGTTGTCATTTGTAACTCTTTTCAGTCTAACTGATCGGTATCTATCTAGTAAATTCGTAAATTGTAAATTGCTTGTCATAATTTTACAAAATTTGGTGTAAATGCTCGGCGTTATTTAGAAAAGATATTTCCAGGACGATGGATTGGTAGACGAGGTAGAATTGAATGGTCTCCACGTTCACCTGATTTCAATCCTAAAGATTATTTTTATTAGGGATACTTGAAAAATTCAGTTTACAAAACTAAATCAGCAACTCTTGCAGAACTAAGGCAACGAAAAATCGATGAATCTCAAATAAATTCTAGACAATCATGGAAAAATGTGGTAGACGCATTCTACCATCGATTAGGGTACTGTCAACTTACATGGAGCACATTTTGAACACTTGATAAAGTAACCATTATGTTAAAAAATGTTGTAATATATCAATTGTTACGTTTTAATGTAGTTAAAAATAGTTAGTATTAAAAAATTTATTGAGACAATTAGGCGTTGCCAGACTTCTGTTGTATGTATTTAAGATCTTCCAGACTACATAAAATCATAAGTGTTACATTTGGTTGAACACGTATTGAAAAGGAGATTCCAATTATGAGTGAATATACGGGGTGATGAATTTGAAAAACCAAAGTTACTAATAATATAAGAGAAACGGCAAATATGACAACATTGCAAATATCAAATATGGAATCTCCGTATCCTAAAATACTTACTTACTTACTCCGTGGTGTTACAACCCTTCGTGGGTTTTAGCCGACTCGACAACATGCCTCCACTGTTTTCTGTCTTGAGCAACCTCCATCCAATTCTCCACGCCCATAGTGCTTAGGTCTCCTGCTATATTATCTCGCCACCGGAGACGGGGGCGTCCGCGTGGTCTCCTTCCAGTTGGGACTTCCTCCCACACCAGTCTTACTGTTCGTTCGTCAGAATGTCTTCTGAGGTGTCCTGCCCATTGGAGTCTTCTGGACTTTATTTCTTTTATGATGTTGGCGTCTGGGTAAAGTTCTTCAAGCTCTTTATTAGTTCTTATCCTATATTGTCCTGATGCTTCATCAAGCACCGGACCAAAGATCTTCCTTAGGATTTTTCTTTCCCAAACACGTAGTCTCTCTTCATTTGCCTTTGTTATCGTCCACGTTTCGCTTCCATACATCACAACGGGTCGTATGATTGTTTTATAGACCTGTGTCTTCGTACGTCGTGTTAGTTGTTTTGATTTTATAAGGTTTTGGAGGGCAAAAATACATCTGTTGCCGGCCTGAATCCTGTTGTTTATTTCTTGTGATCCGTTATTGTCTTCAGTTATTGTTGTTCCAAGATACTTGAATTCTCTAACGAGCTCAAAGTTAAAGTCATCGATGGTAATGTTCTGACCGATTCTGTCTCTGCTTTGGTTATTGCGGCTCATATACATATATTTCGTCTTGTTTTCGTTGATTTGGAGCCCCATCTTCTCTGCTTCCTTCTCAAACCTTACGAAAGTCTCCTTCATCCTTAATCGCGTGTTTCCTATTAGATCTATATCGTCTGCAAATGCCAGTAGTAAGTTTGGTACTTCTCGATGAAATACTGTATTCGGTTTTTCGATTCTTGCACTTCTGATTATGTGCTCCAGAGCTAAGTTGAAGAGTTGTGGTGAAAGTGCATCTCCCTGTTTTAGTCCATTGTTTATTTCAAATGTCTCCGAGTATTGTTGTCCAACTCTCACTTTACATCGTAACCGTTCCATACACATCCGTATCAACCGGACTAGTTTTTTTGGAAAGCCAAGTTCCTGCATCGCTGTCCACAGTCTGTCCCTACATACTCTATCAAATGCTTGTTTAAAATCTATGAACATCTGATGAAGCTCACGATCAAACTCCCAGCATTTTTCCATTATCTGTTTTATTGTGATCCTAAAATAGGTGTACCTCAAATTTCGTATAATTATGTCTGGTAATTTACGAGATAACTGGCCGTTTCCAGACTTTTGGGCCACTCTGTACGCGCATAATTGTAAAATATTCTTATATTTAATATTGTAGCTATCGATCGTATATTAGTACTATCAGTATTATCTATCATGGCTGAATGGATCAGGCAATTCAAATTATTAAAAAAAAATAAAACCTTTAATATTAGTTTTATTTTTTAAATCTGTTAAAATCATAATAAATGTAAATATATAAAAGTATCTAATATCAAAAGCTGCAAAAGTAAAAAAGCACTACCAGCTACCTGATGCTCTTGATTTTTCCTAAAGGGCTATAAAGAAATAAGCCCATCTCAATTTGATACATTTATCGTTAGAAATATCGTATTTTTAAATATAAAACGGCAGTAAGTATCACATAGCAATAAATAATAGTTCAATAATAAACTTCACGTTCACATATAAAACTTCTAAAATATACTACGAAGCCTTTAAGATCCTCTGATCAATCGGTGATCTGGGTTAACAACGCTGTTCCTTTTAATATCCAATACTCCTGAGGATATCGGGTAGGAAGAAGCACTGCTATCACGAAGTTCGTACTGTGTCCAGTCGTGGATAGGACACCAGCGCGAACTGACGTCTTATATAATGGTGCCGCGTACCGGGTATCTTTAGGGGGCAGGGTCCTGGTAGGTTGTAGCCACATAATCGGTAATGGAGGATTGATTTCACCTGAAAAAGTTTTACTGAATATTACTAAAGACATTTTATATTATTTAATGCTATAACCTGAGCAATTGTATATAGTGAAATCTGGGAAATAATATTGCTACGCTTGTATGACGCCGTATGATAATCTAAATCAGAATTATGGCATGCCGCTGATGCAAAAAAGTAAACAACCTACAAATAGGTAGATAGGGGAGAGGCTGGAACAGTGGCCAGTCAGGTACAGTGAGCACTTTTAAATATTTTGTTGTTGTTTGATAGATACAGACGCGCCATCTAGTAGTCACAGTAATCGCTTACTATGCTTGACCCCTGGACCACAGAATAATAAACAATCAGAATGTCCACTCTCCATGGAAAATTAAGTACGCGCATCTCCTTCGGGCAGACGTTCCGCCATGTTTTAGAGGGAACCAGTGTTGTTTATATGGAACAGACAAATTATACATTTTGCCAAACATACTAATCCTACAAAGTAATCTCCCATTTTACTAATCATGGACAACCAGGAGAGCCATGTTTCTTTAGCATCTATTAAATTTGCAAAAGAAAATAATATAACCTTGTTGACTTTGCCGCCACATACTAGTCATCACCTTCAGCCACTAGATAAAGCTGTTTCTTATGAAGCGATGGCAACTTCTAAGGACACACCCGAAAATAGATTTATTTCCCCTGTATTACTGCAACCATACCCTAGAGCTACCTTATTGCCATTAAAAAAGAAGGAAAAAGAAGACTACTGAAATTTTTACTAATACATCAATTTATAAAAGAATAGAAGTGTAAACAGCTGAAAGAATATCAAGGCAAAGTAGAGTGAAAGACAACAGTAAAAAAAACTAATAGTTCAAACAAGTCGAATAGAAGTAATGCAAAGAAAAATAAAAACATACACAGTGATGACAGTAACAGTGACATTGAATTGTCTGATGTTGTGAATTCCGACGATGTTAGTCTATTTTCAGAAGTAGATGAAATTTCTGACGAAGACATCCTCACGAATGGTGGAAGTGAGTGAATTTGTTCTCGTGAGGTTTCAAACAAAGAAAACTTCAAAATTTTATGTTGCACAAGTTACAGAAGTTTTTCTTCTGGTCAAGAATACAATGTAAATTTTCTAAGGCGCCACGGAATACAGTTTTCATTTCCTACAGTTCCAGATTCTGCCACAATTACAAAAGAAGATGTTGAACTCATTTTAACCCAACCACAAAGTGCTGGAACAACACAATGAACAGCAAATTTGTTTACTTTTAAAGCGGATTTATCATCTTATAATGTTAAATATTAATATTATTTTTCTTTTTTATGAATATTATAATTAAAAATATAAGCACCTTGGTGGGGTTCGGACTGTCGCAGGCTGAAATAACAGTAAATGAGACACAGACGACCCGAGAGAGATGGCAGCCTCGCTAAGGCAGGGGGTGGAAAGTCTTTGGTGGTTCGTGTGGGTGTGGTGTCCTCGATGAATGTGTCGGAGAAAGAATGGGAATCAGGTGATAGCGGGGCATCAGGAGAGATGTTTGCCATAACCGGACCTTCCATTCTGATGTCTGATGTGACAGAGGAGAGGTTTTTAGTTGGACGCCGACCATCTGGGAGTGGTGACGGAACGAAGTGTCAAAGGTCTAAATCCCTTGGGCATCTCGCCCTGGCACAGCTTCGCTAGGGTATTAGGAATCCAACACTGTGTGAGTTACAGGTGTCTGTATGCAGATTTTCCTTCTTCTCTTTAAAGATGTAAAAAAAAGGTTGGTATAGTGGCCACATTTTTTGAAAAAACATAATTAGTTACTCATACATAACCTGTCTTTTTTTTTTATTGCAGAGTACATTTTTAATTTACCAAGTGCTTTGACGTTGTTTGAGTTGATACTCATTAATATATTATGATTTATATTAAAGTTATCTTGAATTTACTCGAAAAGTGACCACTGTACCAGCCTCTCCCTTACTAAAGGAAAACGCCAAAAATATAGAAAAAATAAAAATAAGAAATAAATGATTTCTAAATAAAAAATCGATTTAAAAATTCTTTTATAAAAGGTATAAAACTCTATCTAGGACTACATCACAAACGTTTTCGGAGTTAATATTCCATCATCAGTCCTATCTCGATATATAAGTTAAAAGCCACTAAATAAATAGGTAAAAACCCTTTATATATATATATATATATATATATATATATATATATATATATATATACACAGCGAGTGTAACTTTAATTTTGTCGCTTCTCGCATCCCAATCGCCATAATTTCTTATCGGCCCAGTCTCCTTCTTGAAGACCTCTATTTTCCATTTCTATATGAATATTGGATATCCATTTCTTTCTTGGCCTTCCCCTTTTATTTCTCTGTGTAGGTCTCCAGTTCCAAACCTTTCGTGGTATCCTTTCTTCGTTCATCCGTCTCGGGTGTCCGTACCATTTTAATTGTTTTTCGGCTATCGTATCCATTATTGTGTTCTTTACTTTCATTCTCTCTCTTATGTTTTCATTTCTTATGTGGTCAAACAAAGTTAACCCGGAACATCTTCTCCAGTACATCATTTCCGTTGAGAGGAGTTTTTGTGACATATTCTTGTTAAAGACCCACACTTCTGACCCATACGTCAGCACCGGCTGAATCATAGCCTGATATATATTTTCCTTTATTTTCTTAGTTAAAGTTTTATTCCACAGGATCGGATGTAGTGTTTTTATCATGTTTTTTCCTTTTCCTATTTTTCTTGTTATATCTTTGTCGTCTCTCCCGTCTTCGCTTAGTGTAACTCCGAGATATTCGTACTGATCAACGTTTTTAATTAATCCGCTTTCTGTTTCCATGTCTTGACCGATGCCTCCTATATTCATGTATTGTGTCTTTTCGGTATTAACCTCTAAAAACCCTTTAAATGTTGTTAAATTAACTTTGAGTTACATTATTTAAGTTTATAAACTAGGATGTTTAATTTACAATATGAATAGATAACATGGCAATGTAAGACTCTACTGGAGGCTGCTAGTCCTGAGACAAAGTGTCTACAGGACTTGTTGATAGCAATTCAGTTGCTATCAACAAGTCCTCTCTTTTTACTAAACTCAAAATTCTTACCTGGTTTGGCATCAACAAGTTCATCTAATGTAAAATCCCACCTACCAGCGTCAATAAAAAGACCATGAACGATCACTCCATCCGTGGGAACTTCATACAACTTATAACTTTCATAAACCTGGAAAAATAATATCATAATAAACATGATTTATTATCTTTTGATCTAGATTAATTATCTTTCCTACCTCCTTTCCTACGATAGTATGCTTGGAAAATATATCTTCTTGATCCAACATTTGCTTGTAAACGTAAAAATCGAACTTAAGTTCGTCGATAGGTAAATTGTACTTTCTGGCATGTGTTTGTAAAGAACCTGTTAGAAAGCCTTGGGGAAAATAAAAGCCCGAGATCCAGTAGGATGTGGGAGCACCATATCGTACCCAAACCTAAAAATATTAAACTTTAAAATCACTAGTTTAAACCATACACATATAATAAAACAAGATAGACTGATCCTTGCAATACATACTCCTATTTGACAGGTTTACCGACCACGTGACTTAAATGACCAAGGAGAAGGTCACGTGGTCTATAAATCCGGCTCGTTAGACAAAGATGCAGGGACTGCTTTGCGCCAGTTCTCTCTGTCGCAGTTGGGGAATACCACTGTATTGCAGTCAGTCAGTCTATCTTGTATTATACATAATATATCTATGGTTTAGACATAACCTAAAATAGCCTCGAATTACGTATAAAAAGATTTAAATAGCAATTCCCAGTCAAAAACTTCTTTTTATTACTTACACTGATAAAGTCCAATCTTAAAATAAGATCTCTGGTCCAACTTCCTAAACTTTTTAAGGAATTATAAGCTATTCTGTTCCACATTGCAGGGACCTAAAACATACGTATTGGGGTTTACATACATAAATGCAGGAAGTTGTTCAGAAAAGTCGAGTTAGAATAATATTTTGGAGAAAAAACTACTAAAATAATTAAAAATGGGAGAAACCAAGGGAAGTATATTAACGACATAACAATAAGAACAATAGTTTATAAATTTGAAGTCTGATAATTAGAAGTTATCAATATATATCTACCTGATTGTTCATAAAAGCAGTAAATATTTCTTCCAAAGCGTCCGACATAACGACGAGACCTTTGATTGCCTTTTGTAGTTGTTCCATAGATTCGTGAATTATTTTAAGTAGTTTGTCATAACGGTCGATTTCTTGCGTTAAAACTGTCGTCAAAGAAGGAACTCTTCCTTTTTTGTCTTTCTAAAAGGAACATGTAGATATATAAACAAAAATGCGATTATGTACCAGTTAATCTTCTTCTTTTGATGTCATATTAGGCCCCTCTAAAGTTGCTCCTCCAATAAAACAATACCAGCGTATCGCTGAATTGTAAGCAATAAGTAAATTAAGATTTTGGCACAAAATGGAAGAGAACTGGATAAAATAACCCTGAAATATTCCCCATATTTTTGCTTAAACTTAGAGAATAAAGTACCTTAAACATGTAAGCGTTGACGTGTTCGGTAGGTATTTTCTTCATTATAGACGTCAGAATTCCTTCTGCCAAGTCATATACTATATCGTCACTGGATCTACCTTCAACACCACCTCCAGTTCGAGGCTGGCATTCCATGATGGTTCGAATGATAATGTTTGTCTCTTTAACCTAAAAATAGTTTCACCTAACTAAGTATCTGATTAAATAAAAATCGATTAATATGTTACAAAGATCTTCTACCACATATAATACTAAATAAACTGAGGTTTTGTAATCAGAGGTGCTGGGCACATGTGTTTATCTTCCTTAAAGGTTACAAATAGCTTAAACAAATTCGATTTTGAATTTTATTTATTTATTGCTAATTTACAATCTACTTCTGGCCAAAGTCTTTTTTTTAGACTTCTGTCAACCAGTGAGGGGTTGAATAATTCGTCTGTGAGATGGTTTGGATGGTCTGCGCTGCGATCTTCTGGAGTGGTCAGCAATCACATCATTGATGAAGGGGATGTTGAGGTCTGCATGAAGGGTTTGGTTTGACACATACCATGGGGCTTTAGCTAACATACGAATAGTTTTTGACTGGAATGTCTGTAGTATTTTGATGTTGGATTGGTTTGCTACAGCCCCACAGCTCAATTCCGTATGTCCACACTGGTTTGAGTATTGTTTTATAGATGGCCAGTTTGTTTTCTAATGAAAGTTGCGATCTTCTGTTGATTATCCAGCTCATATTTTTAACTTTTAGGTCGAGGTCGAGGTTGCCGTTTGGCTGCAATATGTGATTTCCAAGTAAGTTTTTCGTCTAGATGAAGGCCCAGGTATTTTACTTCTGTTTTATTGGTATAGGTGAATTATTTAGGTGTAGTTATCTCTAATTCTTCGATTTGTGAAATTTACTTGACAAGACTTGTTTGTGTTGACTTTTTTTTTCTAGCATTTAAGCTAGTCTTCTAGTTCACTGAGATGATTTTGCAATTTGTTAAACGCTAATATTTCGTCAATCTCTGATGCTAGTATATCAGTGTCATCCGCAAATGTTGCCATTAATGTATTTTCGCTAATGAAGATTTGGTAAAGGAATGGGCCGAGCACCTTCGTATTTAACTTGAAAGTATCTGTCGGACAAGTATGATTTAAGGAGGAGGTAGATTTGGTCAGTTAGCTGAGTTTTTATTTTAAAGAGAAGACCCTCGTGCCATACTCTATCAAATGCTTGCTTATATCGAGGAATTCTGATAGACATATTTGTTTCCCTTCTAATCACTCTTTTATCTTGTTGACTAATCTATGGCACTTTTGTATAATTGAGTGATTTGAGCGAAAACCAAACTGATGATCTGGGATAAGGTTTTCTATAGCTATTATTGTTTCTATTCTGTTAAGGATTGACCTTTTAAAGACTATTGATAAAGTCGGAAGGAGACTTATTAGTCTGTACGAAGTGGCTTCAGTTAGAGGTTTACCAGGTTTAGGTATAGTTATAATTTGTGCATACTTCCATTGCACTGGAAAATAGCATAATGTCAGGAGGCTATTAAAAAGCCTTCAACCATTTCATATAATTTTGGTAATTCATGTCATCATAACCACCAGTTTTTAGTCCGGATTTGGAAACGAGAGCAGCGTTTGCAACAAATCCATTTTTACCACCACAATAGAAAATAATCAGTCATTGCCTTTTAGATACAAGAGATTTTAAGCACATGTTTCGTCCATCATCCCAACTTTTTGGAATTGTGTGGGAAACCCTAGCTTTTGGCTTTGTCTAGCTGTAAATGTACGTCCACTCGGTATAAATGTTCGAATAAGAAATGATATTTTGTTAACCGATTTTTGGAAACAAAGTTATTTCTATTCTATTTAGATATAGATAATTTGCGGGATTTCTACTGAATTTTTTATCCCAAAAAATGAAATTATTGTAATGAAATGAAATTAATGAAATAATGAAAATATTTATCCCAATAAATGAAAATATGGTTAGATTTGACATCCATAATATTAAACATCATATTTCAACCTATTTAATAGGTGAATATCAAAAATTAAAGAAATAATTAACACGATTAATAATTCTTGATCACTTAACATATTAATAAAAAGATAAAAACTCACCTGGTAGGCTATATTTGCATTTTCATGCATACCAAATATCTCTGGTTGTTCTATAATAGGAAGATTATCCACAAATTCTCGATATTCTTGTATAGTAGAAAAAACTGGGCAGTAGTATGTGCCAGATTCAGAGTATACATATCCGGAAGTTAGAATTTGCGGAGAAAAGAAGATTTTCAGTATTGTTTTGAGGCATCTCAGATCCCAGTAATCTGTGACTCTACCACCATAGGTGATTTCGCCTAAAAGACAAGAAAGTAAAGAATACAGCAAACATCATTTTCAAAGCTCTTCATTAATTCAGTGGCGCATCTTCAAAGTATTAGTACTACTAAGTGTTGGTGTTATCTGCCACTAAGACAGCCTTGTGCTCATTACTATTTTCAACATTAAAAATGTCGCTAAAATTACACAAGTGTTTTATAAATAAAGAATTTCCCCCGCAAAAGATGTGGTGCTACATTGAGATATTTCATTACATTTTGTTGAGTTATCTAGCAGTATGTTATGTGATATAGCATGTACTGCGTGTCAGTAGGCTATATATGTTCTCTATCAATTTGTTGATATGTGTTACTTGTGAATAATTTCTCACTTTTTCTAGATCATAGTTTTGATTACCTATTAATAGTGTTAATTACATACAAAAATTCAGGGAATCGAGTATAATAGAAACAATTTACCAGTTAGATATTCTAGGGCGTCCCAAGGGATAGATTCTTCGACACAAAACATCTTTAGACTGTTAAACGCGAAATCTCTGTCACTGTCATTGAACTCGTACACGATATTCCATCCTAGAGGTCCGAATTTTTTTCTTTCTTGAATCACAGCGTGGAACATGCATAGTCCGAATATCATAGCCTTCCACTGATGCTCCAGATCTAAAATATGATTTTTTTTTATTAAAATAATATTGGATGCAAATACATAATATTGCTAAAAGCCTTAACTTTAGCACATAGAGAAGTTTATGTAGCAGCGTTCCTTACATAATTTACTTCAGAATAATGTCACCTTACAAAAGGTAGAAATAGTGCAAGCACTCCTGACCACGGCGCAGTAGACGAAATTTGGTTTAGTCCCCATTTCCTTGCGAAACGCATTGTACTGTGCACTGTATAATTCCACTTACAATAGAACTTTTCTGTCTTTACGTGAATTTTGACTACGCCTTCAAGTCATATTTTAATGTTTTGAATGCATTATACTGTTAGTTTAGCCCATCAAAGTAAATGTGATAACACCCATCCTCTAGTTGAGATGTAGAATTAAGTAAATAATCGATCACTGAGAGAAAACCAAAAAACTTACGATGATGTTCGAAGAAATTCTTATCCATGTCAGTGAATGCTCTTTTGACGTTAGCTCTTAGACCTTTTGGCGGCTCGTTTGTTACTTTGACTGAATTCTGAAGTACCGATACGGGGAACGCTTTTGACGGCATGGAACTCAGGAACAGCCTGAACTCTTTATGGACTTTATCCGTATCTCTGGCTATGACTAACACTATTGTTTCCATAGAGAGCATCCAGGAGGTGGCCAAGTGGCAATTCTACAACAGAAGAATAAAGAACTATCAATCGAATATGTTCATATATATTTTAATGTAAAGTAGACTCCAAACTTATATAGCCCGTTGAAACTCTACCTTCTTTGCGATAGATAGAGATAAGATAAGCTCGAACTGCTTTAATGGCACAGGGATAAAAGCGCCAACTTAATATTAAAAGAAAAAAAAAACTATAATTTCATGAGGTCGTGAGTTCGAATCCGGTCGAGATGAGAATTTTTATGAAAAAAAAATCTCTTTTTTGTCGGATCGGTACTCAACTAAGATATTGCAGTTATTCGGATATAATAAGTGATCCTTTGTAAATACAATAAATACGACTTTACTTAGTAACAAGGGAATTACACACCACATACACAATACAACATATTCAATATACAATAGGCTTATTGCTTGCAGTACATTCGAAATATTATTTTCATCATTTTAGCGATAGGTATTTTTTTAGACTAGACTAAATCCAGTATTTATTTTAAATAAATATCTGTCGACTCTCAACGACCGATATAAGTTTGCAGTCTCTTATACAAAGTTAATTAAAGACAGCACTTTCTTACAATAAAGTAAAACAAACTCTCACCTGTAAAAAGACCCAATCCCCCTTCTCTACAGCATCTTGTATCATTTTTTCAGCAACTGGACCTTGTCCTTGCCCCAAAGAGATTGATTTAACTCTATCTCCGAAGTTCATTTCGTTGGCGAAACGTTGGAAAGCCTCAAAAGGATCTGATCCTGTGCTCAAAACAAATATCAAAGGAACTCCATTGGACGTGTCTTCATATCTAAAATATAATTTAAAGCAATCAAACTGATTTTTTAAGGTAAGAAATACTACTTTGGTATACCCTATTCACTAAACTCAATACCAACTGTTTAGTAAATTTAGTACCTAAGTAATTTTGTGCTATGTATTAATTTATTATTATACTAAAAAAAATAAGAAGAATATTATAAACAAAAAAAAATGGAAAACAAAACACAAAGAGGGCTTAAACCTTCGAGGTTGAATCGGCTTTAGGTCTTAGCATTGTGGAAAAAAATATTTTTATTATTAATATTTAGTATTAGTATTTAGCTTTAGCAATTGGTATTAGTTATTATTGGGATTTATTAAAATATAATGCATCTCAGCTAAAGCTAGGAGATTGTATCTATGGAAATCGATAACAAACTATCTATCTATATCAATCTTATAGGACGAGTTCATTACTAAACGTCTTGGCTAATGTCTTCTAGAGGATCCTAAAGGAGAGACTCATAAAATTAACACCACAAAACATAATATCATCTTAACATTCCAATTCGGCTTTAGAGAAGGCGACTCAACCTCAACGGCATTGGCAGAAGTCGTCACACATCTCATTCAAAGTCTAACGACGTTACACTGTCGCTAGGCATTTTTTTCGATGTTAAAAAAGCCTTTGACCAAGTCTGGCATGCTGGACTGATCAAGAAACTAGTGAACATCGGCCTGTCATTATCATTCGTTAGACTTATCCATTCATATGTCACTCAACGTAAAATCACGGTGAAGATGCGAGGTCATTTCTCAGCCTCTTTTACTCCCACAGCAGTAGTTTTACAAGGTTCCGTGTTGGCACCTATACTCTACACCATATACAACAGAGACTTTCGTAGTCCACTAGACACTCGCACCCTCACTTTACTCTACGCAGACGACACTACTCTCGTTAGAACATCTCGAGACGCAGATGCACTACTTAGGCTTACTTGAAATCACCTTGACCTGGTCGACAGGTGGTGCAGGAGATGGAGAGTAATACCTATCTCTAATAAAACTCAATTGATTCTCTTGAGATAACCCAATCCCAGCAGGGATTGGGTAGCCGGAAGAATCAACCTCAGACTCTGGGACGACCCACTCCAACTCCATAAACAGATTGAGTACCTCGATGTGGTATTTACAGAAACACTAAAATGGAGGGCCGATCTGAGTGTGAGGAGAAGAAGCGGTTTACTCAATGCCCTCTGTGGTAAGTTCGGACGGACACGCCCACATACACTTGTACACACGTACAAAACATTTATCAGACCGGTGATTGAATATAGAGCTAATCTTTACATCATGTTCAATCGCCACTTTACACAACAACTGCTGAGATTGGAACGGGGAAGCCTGCGTAAAGTAAACAACAAATGGCACGACTACCCTACCGCCCTAATTCCGCTCTCCTTTTTGTACAGGAGTTATATAATCAAAACAATCCGTGCCCAAAACTTCAGAGCCCAAAAAAATATCATTAAAACTACCTGCTCAACCTTCGGCAATGGATACAACAGATACCCCAAATGTACACTCCCATTCTTACCCACTAAATTACTGACCCTTGCCAGCAACGTACTCCCTGATAAATACACTGATATCCTGGAGACAACTCCTCTCTATTTTCGGCGTAATTATTAAATTGCTCACTTCGAGCTTGCTACGACAATGATATATATGTTTTCTGTGGTTTCCCGATCCCATTGCACAATTATACCTGTCTATTGGTGCTACAGCCACAGCTTCCTTCTCCGCGATTGATAATATTTATATACTTACTAATTAAATTCAGTCACAATTCATAACCATATAATTTTTTACTAATAAAATTCTGAAAAGGACCGTTTTACCTCAATATCCCTTTCACCTCTGACTACCTTGGATACCACCTCCTCCGCAGGACTACGGCCACCGAAGCGTACCACTAGTGAGCACAATGCAGCGACACATGCCGACACTAACAAAAACAAACCACATCATGAAGAGGTGTCCCACCTAAAACAGGACAACAAAATCATCCCCAAAGAGAAACAACAAACAGAAGAGAACAACCAGACAACGATCGAAAAATAGATCACTTGAGAAACGCATTCCGCCGAAACTGTTGTAGTGATACGATATTATAATAAATTTTGCAAAAGTTTTGAAAACAAACGTTTTCATTGATTTATTGTCATAATTATTTTTAAATAAAATTCTAACTTGTAGGCACCAAAATAAAAAGAAAATAAATAATACAAAAACTATTTATACAATAATATGAAATCATTAAATTATTGAAATATAGAGTTATTGGTTGTGTAACAAAAAAACATATATGTGGTTAACTAGTTATCATAACAAATCTTTTTGTTGAGACTTACAATACTGATAGTGATACTTGAGGACTTTCGATAAATGTTTTTCCTAGTTTTATTTTGACGTATTCCGCTATTGCGAAGATAAGTTTCTCTTCAGCTACCGTTTTAATGAGCATCAATTTATCAAAATCATCCAATTGAGTGTTCCAATCACGTCTTGACTCAGTCTTATGATCCATCAAATGGATATCCTAAAGTGATCAAAATTGTTTAACATTTCCTTATGTCATTATGAATAATATACAGTAAAATATAGTCAGTTTCCCGAGTAATTATACAAAAGATAATTATATACTATAGATTGCAAAAATGAGCAGACATTACAACTTTAAAAAAATTACAGAGTGACGTCTTCGCTAATATGATGAATTCGCATAAGTTTTTTAATACTTACCAACTTAAAATCTCCTATCTCTAGATGGATCCTTTTCAAGAAGTCGACGTCCAGTCCTTCGAAATGTTCATATGTAGAGGATAGGAATTGAGCTGCTGTCCACATAGCATCGGTTATTATAGGGTGGTCCGGTTTCTTTGGTATTGCGGCTGAAAATAAAAAAAATAATTAATTAATTATGGACAAGCAAATATCAAAACAGGGATTTATAGTTAAACAGAATGTATTCAGCACAAAATCTAAATGATTATATACCCTTTGTTGCGACAGGTCCTCTCAATAAAAAGTTCCACTGAGCATCTGTTACAATTCCAGCTTGTTGAAGAACAGCTACGCACAACATGAAACTAAAAACAAGTTTGTGGCGTTCGAAAAGGCCTCTGGAAATATTAGTATAGATGGCTTTAGTAATTTCCTTGATCAAAATGGCCAAACGTTGCTCCAAAACTTCTTTCTTTTCGCTGACTTCTATTACGTTATTGAAAACCTAAAAAGGATTCATTATATTGAAATTTTAAGCGTATATTATTAAGTAAAGAGATGTAATTATAAACTCAAATTATTAGATTGAAGATATATTTGTAATATTAAAGTTATAAGTAAAGATTGGTTGAGTCCAATACCTGATTAAAATATTTCAATGAATATTGGTACATTGGATCAATATCCGCTAGATTTGCCACCACGAAATACAAAACGGATCCTCTTACCGCTACTAGCCTGTACTTTTCTCTGGCTATCGATATTTTTTCCTCTGTGGATTCTGTTTCTATCAAACGAGCTTCAATAATAGCAGATGTTTCCTACGACAGGTAAATACCTATGTTAGATATGATCAGACAGCATTAAAAACATTTTCCAAAACAAAAGATAAAACGTTGCATTTATTAACATAATCTCCATACCTTGCTCTCGTTTAGAGTTTCGATAAGCTCCTCATCATCTAAAATGTTACCCTCTGAATGGTACAGTAAGTACAGAATCTTGTCTTCTATGGCTTTAAGTTGAGACTTGTCAGCGTTTATTTTGATTATAAGTTCTGTTCTTTGTCGTTCTAGATCAGGTCTTTCCAAACGTACCACATCACTAAAAGTATATTTTTTATCAAAGCTACCGCATACAACGGGAAAATGATACAAATAAAGAAAAAAGGACAAAAAGAAATAAGTAGACAAATTGGAGGACAAAAATTTATATGAACAAGATTTATATGAATAAGTAAAATCAAGATTTTACTAATATATATATAAATCTAGAGCAGTGGAGGAAACAATTATCCGGAATGGGAATAGACATAGGCGATGGTAAATGTCTAACAACTTTATTTGTCGCAGATGATGAGGTAGTCGTAGCGAATGATAAGAAAGACATTGACTAGATGTTAAGAAAACTAAAAAAAAATATGAAAAATGGGGCCTCAATATGAATATGTCAAAAACAGAGTATCTTAAAATAGGAGATGATGAAGAAGATCCAGAGTTAGAAATTAGAAACACAAAAACATGAAAAGAATATAAATATCTCGGATCTCTATTATCTAAAGAAGACACTACCAAAAGAGACATCGAAAACAGAACGCAGCATGAAAAAAAAAATGCAGTAAACATTCTAAACTCTCTAGTATGATGATACAAAAATGATTATCTTTAGACATCCAAGACACAGTCAACGCGTTGCACCTATTAACGAAAGAAACGATCTCACACTATGGGGCGACTGACTTCAACTCCGTGACCAGATCGAGTACCTCGGTGTAGTGTTTACTAAAACGCTTAACTGAACGGCCGATCTGGACATAGCCTGTAACAAGGCTAGGAACAGACTCGAGCTTCTTAATAGTTTGAGATATAATTTCGGAGGAACGCATCCGCGTACATTAATTCATACCTATAAAACTTTCATTACCAATCTTCGCGTATAGATCTAATATCTACATTATGATGTCGGCACGTACTAAGAAGTACTGGATACTGAATAATTCTATACCGTGTGCCAATTATAAAAACGTGTATATTGGAGAATCATCTCGTAATTTTCATAGTAGAGTGATCTCACATCGCAGCTACATAAAAACCAAAAAAAATAAATGCATATGCGTTGACAGAACATGCATTAACGTTATGACATGAATTTAATTTCGAGGATTCCTGTATTTTGGCAAAGAAAAAAAAACCCTTCAAAACGTGTTTTCTTGGAAATGTGTTTCATAAAATCCAATACGTCTCGTATAAATAAAAAGTCTGACATTTACATTGACAGCAACATTTATTGTTATTTACTGACAAAACATCAAAAATAAAATACCGATTTATTTTTACATATACACACACCCATAATACACCTGCATGCAAAACATGTTGCATACCATCAAGACAGGTTTAATATAATACTTCCATTAATAAAACATGAAGAGCACCTAATTACATTTTAATCATACTATTTTTGTTTTTTCTTTCTGTTCTATATGGATCAGTTAAAACACACTATTAAAATATGTCACAAACGAAGTTTTACTATCATTAACTGGATTTTAAAATGTATTTTGTCCATTATTTTATATGTTATATTTTATATTGTGTTATTAATGTAGAGTGTCATAGTTTTATATAAATAATCTCAACGACTAGTAAGTTGCACTGACAATTTGTGATATATTGTAAATATTTACATTTCTTCTAATTGCAGTGTCTTGAAAAAGGAATAAAACAATTCCGAAAGCTAGACCAAAAGTCAAAAGAGTGTTTCTGTAACATCATGGCCAAACTTCTGACTGCAGCCCTAATAAACTGTGTTGTTTATATATATATATATATATATATATATATATATATATATATTATATATATATATATATAATATATATAAACCAAGAGTTGAAAAAAAAAACAAGGAAATAAATATTTTTCAAATATAAGCTGATAGATTAAAACCAGAACGAAATGGAGATAAAAGTAAGTGTGGAAAAAGTGTAATTATGGGAAAGAAGAGGGAATAAATATTAAAAATCGAAAATAAATAAAATGATGATTGAAATTAACATTCTACAAATAAAAGCATTCTCAGATGAATAAGAGTGGCTCAATATACAAGATGAGGTTCTAGAGGCAGAAAGAGAAAATAAATTCATGAAGAAAAAATTAAAGTTTATGAAAAAAGGTAAATAAACGTTTTAATGTGAGCATTAACAGAAAGAAAACAGAACAATACGAAGATGAGATTACTTTTTACTTTTTTTGAAAGTATTTTACAAATTATTAAATAAAATAAACGAAAAATATAATAAATAACTTGCAAAAAATATACAAATTTTTCTCTAGAATCAACATAATTTCAAAATAAAGACAGGTATTTAAAAATATTGTAAGATGTGTACTATAATGAAAGTTTTGTGACTAATCCTAGCAGTTTTCATATTCTTACGCTAATAATTGATCCTCTAATCCAGATAAAGTTACTGTAAAGTTGACAATGGTCACCTTAATGCAGATTTCTGGTAAATAGTGAGGATTTGCCAATTTGGTGGTGATGTAAAATCGAAAATTTTCATTATATTCAACGTCACTTTCTCCCAAACGTATGAGAAGTCTTCCTCCCTACAAAAAAAAAACAAAACGATTTGAAGAATGATATATATGGCATATATATACAAATATATGGCATTGGAGCGCAAATTAGTCAAACCTTCCGCATTTTAATCGGTATCAATAAAGTATTATAACGTTATTTCAGCATCCACGCCTCGTCAGACAACTCGAGCTGATACAAATTTCAAACTCGGAAAGTAGAACTAATGTCTCCAAAATCTTTCCACTTTCATTGGTTTTCACACAGAGGTGCCATCTACTTTGAGAGCGAGGTAGAAGAACGATTTAATAAAATAGTTCTCTGTTCCTCTGTGCAAACGATTGGAACTTTCAGCAAAAGCGTAATATTGCTCCGACGAATTAAAAAAAAAACATATATATGGCGTTTAAGTACAAATTAGTTAGCACAAAGGAATTTAAAAGCTTTTGTTTCTTTTATAGATATGGGCAAATAGCAGCTCTTGACGCAGCTTTAAATACAATCATGAAAGATGGTCGCAAAATTAGAGAAGCAGTTGAGTGTCTGAAATCTAAAAATCTAACAAAATAAATTAAATCTGACTAGCTTGAAAGAGCTCCCGTGTTTTCTGTATTTCAAGAAAAGGATATTATAGACGACGATCTCAAATTGGCAAAGTTATTCTTTGTTGTCACTTCCATCTAACTCTAACAATTTTGTTCAAATATGTAGAAGAAAAAAGCATAAGAAGATAATATTAAAAAAAACTTTAATGTAGAGAAATAATTGGCGGGCAAGGATTAGTAAAGTGTAGAAGTGTTGGAAGATGCCAGTATTCGTGACTGAAAGACCTGAGGAGATAAGAGATAAGAAGAAGGATTGGTACCAACGATTTTTAAAAAGAAATCGGCAAATATCACTAAGGAAACCTTCTTCTTCTTCTTTTTATATATACATGACTCTATCTGTTTCTCAATGTGTTTCCAGTAAGTTGTCATTTCATCGTTTTCGAGGTCTTCCTACTGATCGTCTGTTGCCGTATTTACTACTCTATTTGTTGTCATTCGGCTTATATGATCGTTCCGTTCTACTCTTCTATTTCTTACCCAGTTCTTGATGTTCTTCACATTGCATCTACGTTGTATGTCTGTACTTCTAGCTCTTTCCCATAGTGTCTAACCATCGATTTGTTTAAGTGTTTATACTTAGAAACTTTTCTTGTTCATTTTTATGTTTGACTAAAAGTTTATATTTTCTCCTACTTTGTTGCAAACTTGTCTGAAGTGTTTCAATTAGTTTAGTTTGTTTAAAAAATGTTTTCTTCACGCAAAATTTTAGGTTTTTGTAAAAATGTATGTTATCATCAAAAGAGCTTAATTTATTTTTACCCAGATATAAACACAAAAATACTAAGATCAGATAACGTCGCAAGAAAAACAAAATGTCAAATATACAAACCTTAATAAGACCGGTACTCACATACGGCTCAGAAACCTGAACAATCACTAAAAGAGAGGAAACGTTGTTAGCCACCTTCGAAAGAAAAATCTCGCGACACATATATAAGGGCACAAAAGAAAATGGAATTTGGCGAAGAAGATACAACTTTGAGCTATACAAAATATACCAGGAACCGGATATTATAACATTCATTAAAATAGGACGACTGCGTTGGATAGAACATGTAGAAAGAATGGAAGAAGGCAAAATACCAAACAAAATATTCAAACAGATGCCAGTAGGAAAAAGAAAAGGAGGAAGACCGAAGCTAAGATACTTAGAACAAATAGAAAATGATATAACAACATTAAAAATAAAAAACTGGAGGAAAAAAGCACCAAACAGATCAGAATGGAGAAGAATCCTGGAACAGGCCAAGACCCAAAAAGGATTGTCGAGCCAGTGATGATGATGAAAACACAAAAATTGTATAAACACCTTCCACATAATTATATATTTAAAAATAAATTAGATACAATTTGTGTTGATATATAACAGTTACCTGCATAAATGTTTGCTTTAGTAAAATAGGTTCCAAAGTTGGATCCAACGTTTCTCCAACTTCTTCTAACAGCACAGGCATTCCAATTGTCACAGCGGTTTCTAAAATTCTCATAAAGTTGGTATCACTCAATTTGATTACTTTCAACTGGTTCTCTACCTCCAATTGTCGTATCCATCTGTTAGCTTGCTCTTGAGGATCTATCATAAGTGGCCAACGGCCTGCTTGTTTTACCAGAATGGCGTTTTCTGTGGAGATATTGTCTCTAGGAAGACCACACGAGTTCCATATGCGAATTTCGTACGGATCTGCTAGTACAGTTATTAAACTACAAACAGTTTTATTAGAAAATGAGATTTAAGAGTGAGAAATACCTGATTGATGAGCTCATAATAAATAATAGTTGCTTGTGAGATATTTATTTATATTTTCTTACTTTACTACTAATTTTTTTATTGGCACCCCATTTTGCTTATTTAAAGTACGCCGCAGCGTGTTTAAATTAAACGCGTTTCAAACATGCGCGTTTTAAAGTTACCATGGCAACATTAACAGTTTTACATATTAATCTGGCCTGACAGGAGTACAAATCTTGTAACGTCAAATAAATAAAATATTGCTAACAAATGTTTCAAAAGCTTTATTTAAGTATTTGAGAATCTTAATCTTTTAAATGAATGTAAAAAGTAAAGTTGGCATTGTTTGAAATATTTACACTTCCGTTTTTTAAATCAAAGGAAATTCTGTTCATATTAATATTACCGACATTCTCGGAAGCCAATGGGATTGTACTTCCAATAATGACACTCCCAATAATTTTTGAAACATTCTTCTTATTAGTAATACTCTCTTCAACGTAACCAGGCGTCATATGCCGATTTCCATCTTACTTGTCATTGGATTTGATCTACTGTCATGCCACTTTTCGCCATAATTGTAGAGGACGTATGTCGAAACGCATGTCCCGTGTATTTCTCAGATCATCCAATATTAGATAACATGTAATTTGCAAAGGGACATGATGATTCCGATGTATTAATACCAACTACTTGATTAGTGCACTTCCCTCTATCATATCGTGAGAAAACTCGGGTAGCGGGTAGGAACTCTTTAAATTGTTGAAGATAGTCCTATCAGGGAAAATGAATCAATCCCTGCCCTCCGTAGATTCCGGGGGTTTCCTGACCCGGGAAACTAGTACCTGTTTAGGGTCTCTTGTCCAGGGTTACGGATGAAGTCCACAACTGCAGACTCGACGGAGAAGCAAAACTTCGGTACAGTGCGGATGGCGTAAGAGGCAACCCTCGATTTTAGGGCTGATATAGAATCAAGTCAAATACTGGCCAACGGTTTCAGGCGGAGCTGATAGATTTAAGGACACTCTTTTGTCCTGAGATAGAGAAATCTATCTCGAAGGCGGATGAACCAAGGAATGGTCAACGGCATAAGGATGCAGAAAGCAACGGGGAAACCACTGCATTAAAGACTCGTAGAGTACCCTTAGAAATCGTCATGGCAGTTAGTGACAAGCATTACCGAACCTGAATCATGGTTCTCGGATCCCAAGATTCGGCATAATAGAATACATGCTAAGCTGGAGATGGATATTAGTTATTCCCAGTTTGGATTTCGGAATGGAGTGGGTACAAGAGAGGCGCTATTTTCTTTTACCGTGCTGACCCAAAGATGTTTGAATGTTAATCGAGATCTTTATGTATGCTTTATATACTACAACAAGGCATTCGGTAAGGTAAAACATGACTGACTTATAGAAGTACTCAAAAACAAGAATCTGGATGTGGTATGTGGATGGGTAGATAGAATCACGAATACATAAGTGTTAAGGAGAATAGACAGACAGAGGGAACTGGAAAATACAATATCTCGGACATGTAATGAGAGGCGAAAGATACAACATCTTGAGACTCATAATTCAAGGAAAAAATAGAGTGTAGGAGAAGTCTAAGAAGAAGGCCAATTGAAGGCTGCTCTGAACAATTGGTTCAGCTGCTCTGAACCAATTGTTCAGAGCAGCTGCCTCGAAGGGCAGAAAAGCCATGATAATTACCAACCTTCGTCGCGGAGATGGCACTTAAAGAAGAAGAGAAAACTCGATCTGTACTTAGTTTTCGAGCCTTCACAGTATTCGATGATCAGATAGTAATAAGCAATACGCTTCCTTCTTCCTTGGTGAAATGTAAGCGTAAATCATCTTCTGCAAATTACAGAAAATAAATTCACATCTTCTGCAAGAGCAAGAGCCAAAGATACCGCAAATGACTCCACCTTCAAAAATAAATACGAAATGTCCGGAACATCTATAAGAAACTTCCGCAAATCGTCTTCCTTGAATACATACGCCTTCTTGCTCACGTCCTTTGTGCTAATTGCCTTTATGAATGTATACACTTTCACAAATAATTTTAAATGGACCCCTTTGTTCATCCTCAACATACTTTGCAATTTCGAATGGATAGTCCATATAGTCCACGGCTTTTACACAACCGGTCCATCTGTATCTGTTACCTTTTGCTCTTCCATCCATTTAATGAACTTCGATTCTTTTTTATAATCGTCTTATTATTGCACAGCAAAGAAAAATCAGCTGTGCGTCTTCACGGATTTTTCATCAGCTATCATATACATTTTAGGACCTTCAAATATCTGTATAACATTTTTACGTGAAATAAATTTTCTTCATTTATTGATTCATTCATATTCATTTCGTGATTTTTTTCTTCAAACGTCAAATAATGATGACATTACTTATCTAACTTGATCCTGTCAAAGTTTGATGTCTCCGCCGGCAGCAGTTTTTTTCCCATTTCTTTAAGGCGGAGGGAAAAATGTTGTCATGGCAACAATATGAAACATGTCACAAAGCAACAATACAAATGTCATTAACAACAATTAAATATCATTTTTATTTATAGTAATATTAAAAGTACCTACAAGTAGTTAATGAGGCATTTTCAAAATTGAAACCGTGCAAAAATGTTCCCGACTTACAAAAAGGATGATGATAGTAAGTTGCCAGGAAGCAAAAAATAATAGTATTTAACTTCTGATAATATGTGTAATAAATATTATGTAATTAGTTTATAACTGTTAAATCTTAACAAATAAATATAGGCGTATCTAGAAAAAATTGTGCATCTTTTATATATCCTTATTTTCCAATAAATTTTAATTAGTAAAGAAATAGCCCGCAAGAGGCGCTAAAGGTTATGTATGTAAGGGGTGTCCATTCGAATTTGCCGCCAAAAGATGATTAGTATTGACCCCAGCCGCAAGGGGTTTTAATAAACGAAATTTATACATTAAGTTGCCTATCTATTTCTACTATTATATTATTTATCTATGAATAAGCTGTCTTTAATAATTGCAAACAACTGTAACCAGGGAGACGCAAATCCCACCGACGACTTAATTATTTTAATTTCTAACATCTAGACGACTTTGATAGTTGTCACAGTTAATTTCGAGTAAAAATAGCGTATGAATTGTACTATTTATGGTTGAAAATTGCTACGTTTGAAGAAAAAATAGTATACTTTATTCGGCAAAGAAGCGACTTTTCTTGACTTGCCCTCTATAAAGGTCGATTCAGACACATCAGTCACGTCTTGTCACAGTGATTGCGCCGAACCGAACAATCCGTCATACAAAATATTCTTTAATACAAATATGTTGCCGGCATTCACACTCATCAGTTAACAAACAGTTTCCCAGCTGTCAGATAGTTCTGTGACCAAATAGGACCGGTTCGGCGCCGAGACTATGACGGGACTGATGTGTCTGAATCGACCTTTACGCGCCTCACTTATCGGGCGCGTCAAGAAAAGTCATGCTTCTCCGCCTCATAAAGTAACATACTATTTCCCAGATAGACTGGTGTAATAAATAAAAAATTCATAAAACTAGAAAAATATTTTATTATTTTTGATATAAAAAAGCAGTGACGAATTAACAATTAAATAAAAATTCAAATGTATTATTATAAATAATAAAAGCATACTCTAAACGCTATGGAACCTTCTGAAAATATTCCGTTATTTTCTTTCTCACTTTCGCTTCCATAACTACCTCTGAAGTATCTTCAACAGTATCTATTTCCATCTCCTCGATCCTGTTTGGTTCGCTTTGTGTTTTTTTCCGATGAAGTGTATCTACGAAATTAAGTAAAGAATCTGAATTATTATCTTGTTGTTCTTTGTATTTACGGGTCCGACTATTGTCCATATTGTCTATAAGATCCCCAATATTGTCCTGTACATATTTCTGTTTAGGTAATCTTGAATTTTGTTTATAAAAATTACTGGTATCGATACCATCTATTAAATCTCCAATATTATCATTCTGTTGAGGTAGTTTTGAACCATTAGTAACCTTTTTCTTTTTTGTTATGGATTCGTCTTCTGGGGGGCTGTCAGAGAAAAATTTGTCAAAGATGTCAGCATTACTTAGCATAAGATCCAAATCTTTATCATTTTGGCGATTAACTTTGGTAAAAGAGATCTTTTTTGGTTTAATTGCTGAAGTGGATGGTCCAGGATCTTCTGGTTTGAAAAAATTTTTAATTGAAGTTTGTCTTCTACTATCAAAATAAGCCTGTTGGATGTATGAGTAGAAATATTCTTCAGATTTTTTCGCAAGAACAAAACCACATATTAACTTCCACAATTGTTCAATTTTTACATCATTGGTTGCTAAAAATGTGTACATTTTGTAAAATTCATCTCTAAATTCAGTGTTTCCAAATGTGTAATAAACTAAATGCCTTCCTGCAGCACTACAGGCCATCAACTGTAGTAGACTCTTAACATACAAGCTACCATTAAAAGCACCACATCCCCAATTGCCAGTTGCAACTGGGGCCAAGTTGGTTTTATCTTTGGAACTAAAGCCTACATATGCTTTATTGACTTCCCTTAGCATCGCTGAAGGATAAAACTGTTGGGAGACTTTGTTGTATTTGGTAGCATCTATAATACAAACACTGGTTCTTCTTCTTCCATATTCGTCATAGGGTGTTTGGTCTTTATATGGCTCTTCCCACGTGAAGCTGTCTCCATACCCTGAATAGTTGCTGTATCTTTGAACACCTAGAACATAAAAAGGGTATTCTAAAGAAGTATTTCAAAATATAACAATGAGTGTAATGTTATGATATATATAAACAAACTAAGTTCCTGTAGGTGGCTGTATACCACGTATCACAAAAAAATTATATAAAATCCTTTATAAAAGGTATATAATTATATACAAGGTATATAACTATATACCTTTTTTAAAGGACTTGAAAAAAGGATATTCGATTTGAATCATTTAACGTGAGAACGTTGTACTCTACAGGAGAGATGAGATACCTCTTAGGTACTCTTAACAAATATAATATGGACAGAACAACTATACAGGAGGTACGATGGAAAGGGACCGGTACTATCAAGAAGAATTTGAATATAATATACTATAGCTGCCATCAAATTCATTATATCTTTGGTGTAAAAGGTAGTATCTTTGGTAGTTTGTAAAAAGTTAGTAAGCTAATAATAGGTTTTAACGCTATATATCAGAGAATATGTGATCTTAGGATATGTGTAACATTCTTTAACTACAGTCCTATAATTGGACATGCTCCCACTGAGAATAAAACTGGCACAGAAAAAGAAGAATTCTATGAGAAATTAGAACAAATATATAGAAAATGTTCCAATAACGACGTTAAGTTGATTATTGGGGACATGAACACTAAGTTAGGCACACACACGAAGAATGTAATGATAATGGGACGAGACTTATAATGTTGGCAGCATCTCTGAACATGGCGATCAGTATTACATACTTGCAGCATAAGCGTATACATAAAGTGACGTGAACATCCTCAGATCAGCAGACCCAAAATCAGATAGATGACATACTGATTGATTCAAGACATGGATCAAATATACTAGATTCCAGGACATGTATATCATTATCACATATTAAACTGTACTGATGTTAAAATTTTTTAAATATTCTTAGATCGTAAACTATCAGAATATCCCAGAAATGAAGTAGAGCCCACTGAATTTAACATAAATTGGGAGTTTATAGCTACCCAAAGGACAGCGAAACAACTGGTGTGGTGAGGAATGCAAATGAGTAACCAAAGGGAAGAATGACATGTATCTGTCTCCATTTCCTGAAGGAATAGGAGCAATGTTAAAGAATATCGAGTAAAGAGAAGAGAGGAAAAACAAAAACACAAACAGAAAAATCAGCAACAAATCAATAATGAGTTTGAGGAAATGGAAAAATTAAAAACAATAATCTACTTGTTAAATGTAACAATAAAATCGTTAAATGTTAAATGTAAAAATAAAAGTATATAGGTCTTGGGGTAGAAATCAAAAGACTATGTAGAATGAAAAGTTTCCAGAAAATACCTATAATTTCTTCAACTACTATTGTCATTCTGAAGAGCCTCCTATAGAATATCGAAGATGTTAGTCTTGGTGAACATTTGAAATATCTGAAAATTTGTAAAATATACTCGAAGAGTCCCGAAAATGCTTTTGAATACTTTAGGTACATGAAATTAATTCATTTTCACAAAGTATTAACCGCATGGCATAAGTTTGTCAGTTAATACTAATGTTGCATATATACCTATATAAGTATATAATTGCTAGCCTGTACTATCTAAACTATACCTGTTATCACAACAGCTTCAAGATCAGTTAGTTGTTCAACAAAAAGTCTTGAAATAATCAGTTCTGGACAAATGACAAACCGGATTTCTTCTTGAACACAGCCATATCCCAAAACTCCTCCTCCTACATTCTTATTGGCAAAATCAACCTGCAGAAACCCTAACCCATTATCTTCAATAGTACCTGAACTGTCAATGTGGACTTTTATATGGCCTATATTGTTGTCCAGGGAATCCCACCTAGAAAAATACTGGATTTTATTCACAATGATATAAAAATCACAACAAACGGTAAGTTTTACTTTTAGTTGAAACCAGATTTAAAATATATTCTAAATTTCAGTGGCGACTCTGAAGGTGTAAGTGGATGACACTGTTTACATTTTGAGCTTTTTCAGTAATGCAAAAAAAGTATGAGTAATATATGAACATACAGAAACCATTAATAGTGTAATCAGTATTTTTAAAATTGATTTGATATGTGCCAAATGGTTTTAAGATTTAAATATTTTTATGAAAGTGGCATACAAAAATATTTTTGAGATTTTTTGAGAGTTAATGTTTAAATATATGCATAGTAAAGGAAATTTGTTTTTTTTGCTCCTAAAAAGTTAATAACCCGGCATTTGATGGTGTGAATGTTATGACTATATCTACTGTGAGGACCATATGCACATTAAAAATAAAAAACATACTGCACATTTAATACAATGTTATAATCACTGTGACATGCAGAAATGTGGATTAAAGTTCAAACCAAACCCTTCTTTCTGTGCATCATAGTTCATTGAATTCTCCCTAGCGCATTAAGTTGGAAGTGACCAAGAAATGGTACATCCATGATTATTACACATAGAATTTAGAAACTTATGTAGTGTTAACAGGTAGTTGCATATTAAAGTGACTTTGGTAACCAATCAATGATGTGAATAAAGATAATTTGACATAAAAGTATTAGATCTAGACAGTACTTTCACAATGTAAATAGATACAACGATAATTGTCATCGAGGTTAGTATTTTCTGACACTGTATGGTGACAATTTATTTTATATTAATTCTCCCTATCGCATTAAGTTGGAAGTGACAAAGAAAAGGTATGTCAGTGATTATTATACATACAATTTAGAAAATTATGTGACATTAAAGGATAGTTGCATATTGAAGCAACTTTGGTAACCAATCACTGATGTGAATAAAGATAATTTGACATAAAAGTACTAGATCAAGGCAGTACTTTCACAATGTAAACAGATAAAACTACAATTGTCATCCAGGTTAGTATTTTCTGACATTGTATGGTGAATATTACATTTTATATTAATTTATTATTATTTTCATTAAAATATTTTAATATGCCAAGATATACTGAAAACAAACAAAGTCTAATATTAAACTTATTAGATTATGTTCACTAACATTTCAATTAATTTCAACAGGGACAGGAACATCTTTATTACTAGTTTCTGCTGTTTCTGAAGTAAGATTTAAATTATTCTAAAAATATTAATGTTATTTTATAAATTCTATATTTTAGTGTGTTGCAGAGGTGATAGGAGTATCTATACCAACAGTAAGACAATTATCAAATGAAGGTATTCAACAAGATGATAGGCTATTCTATGGCAATTAGTAATTCAGTATGTGCTTATCTTGGACCCACATTAACCAATAAATATGAACATATCATCAGAACTTGTGTATATAGAATGGTTAGTGAAGGTTTGTATTAAAATATTAATTTGATTATGAAGAAAAGTACTTAGTTCAACCTATAGAAGTTTACATTTTTGGTAACAATACAAGTTTGACTGCCTTTCATGAATATTTGCTGTGTATTAATGATAACTTATTGAATGGTTGAAATAATTGTCTTTAAGGTTTCTTTTCTGATATTGTGAATTCTCCAGATATACTGCATATTGTGAAACAAATAGTTTTTCTTATAAGATTTAACTATGTAATAACCATTTCATATTTGGCTGATTACGATTCTGGCAACTGTTATATTTAATTAAAATGTCGTGTAATGACTTGAGCTTTCTTAAAATCCTATATGATGCCAAAATTAATGACATCCTGAAAGAAGGGTTTGGTTTGAACTATATAAAATTAAAGTTGAACATAATTTATCAAACATACTAGCTTTTTTTTTCAAACTTTCTGTATTTGCAAAATATTTATAAGATATGAATATGAAAATTTTGAAAATTTTCAAAGGCAGATGTGATAAAAATGTTACTTTCAATGAGGCATGGCAATATTTGTTTGTTAGACATTAAGATTTTATTATTCTGAATACCTTCCTACATTACTTAATATCTATTTTATTTTTAAATTCCCATTTAAATATTATGACATCCCATATGAAAAATTTTAAAGGTGGCCTATCAATCCTTTAGAAATACTCGAAATAAATAAAAAATATTTGGTTTTGTTTTTGCTCACACTAAACTTAAAATATGAGCTGCCACTAAAAAATTAAACAAAAAAGCCATAAACTTACCTGGGTATTTCAGTTTTAGGAACATACTTCCTTTCAAACGTCACAACCCCCACTGGCACTGAGGAAGTTACCATTCGGAAATAATTAAACATACACTTAAACTTTTCATAAATGCAAAATAGTCTCTTTGGTCGTCTATCAGCTCTGAATAATGTGATGAAATTAACACCTGGGTATGTATTTGCGGTAGACTTTCTCCAGGGAAATGTGCAAAAGAAAGCATTTGCTAGTAGTGAAGCAATTTGTAACTGGGACAAACTTACAGATCTACTGTGATTTTGTGTCAACAAGGGTAAGTTTCCTGGTAATATTTGTGGTAAATTTAATGCTAATGATATCATTTTTGGCAATAGCTCTTTGAAAAATGCTTGACTTTCTTCTTCTTCTAACTGTTCAAAGTAACTGTGAAGTGCTGTAAATTCAGGTAGAGATGAATTGTATGTGCGAATGGCGGCTTCTAGTTCTAGACTACTATGTATAGGTCGAAGAAGAGATTCTTCAATTAAATTCCAACGTAACTTAATAACTTCGGCGCCGCCTTCTTCAACTGGAAACAAACTTTTCTCTGAATAAGGCATCCTAACATGGTCATTGTCCCAATACTGAGGTTCTGAGTTTTTGTACGGCTCCGGAGCATCTTTTAAGGTCACTGGAAGTCTAAATAGTACGGCATGATTCTTCGAAACGGTTACAGGACAAACATTGAAACTCCAAACTTCTTTGTTACTGCAAATTTGAGAGAGGCTGCTCCCAACCCAAGTTTTTGCTTCATTTTGCGCCATTTTTTTTCGATATCAACAATAATTATACTAGTTGATATATAAGACAATATTGCAATAAATAATTGTTAAAAGTGATGTATTATTGCGAAAGTTAAGTCATTTTGACAAAATAAATAAAAATAATTGTTGGGAAGTAAGGTTATGTTTAGTTATAGTTAACCAACTTAACTTCTTCTTTTTTATAATTTCCACATCCAAGCCTACTAACAATGTTGGCCTTTAATGTTTTATCATTAACAATATTATGAATTTCAAAAATAATTTTATCGAGAAACTTGAATGTTTTACTAAAGGCTGTTTGAATAGTAGAAATTAAATAATTAGTAATTATTGTTATATATGTGTAACAAGGATTGGAAATTGTTACCTAAAATTTTGTGCTGCTGGTATATGTTCCCCATTGCATTTTCGTTCCCAAATGTTTACTAGTTCCATACGATAGTTGCTGGTAAATGCACCTAAGTAAGCAACGCATGCAGCCGCCATAAGAACATCACCAACAGCGTTTTCCAGTTCAATACCAAACCTCTAGATTGTTAAAAAATGTTAACAGAAGTTACTAAAAATATTCGAAAATTCTGATTCCACTTTTATTTTATTTACCTCAACACTTTCTTCCCACCTCGATTGCTCATCTCCGAGAGCTACATTAAGCCTACCAGCCCGATTCAACCTGGCAGCTGTTAATTCTATATTGTCTTCGATAGCCTTCTTTTCTGCCATTGTTGCGTTAAAATTAGCTTCTAAATTTGCTATTTGTGCTTCCACTTCAGCCAATTTCATTTGCTTGTCTCTGAGCAGGGCCATAACTTGCGCCAGTTCCTTCTCAGCGGTCTGAAGCCTAAATGTGTTCATTTTTAGCAAAAATATAAGGTTTGTGTTAGTATTTTCTTTATCTACTTACTTTTTTCTTTTGGGTTCAACGATTCTGTAAACTTTGGCATACATATCAATAGCTCTTACCCACAAACAAAGACTCTTGCAAGCTTTTGATACTTTGAGAACCTTATCCGGAACAAAATCTGGATTTTCTATATAAACTTTTAGTTTCCTCAATACCAAATCGCTGACGTGGTCTTTGTCGTATTCTTGAAGCTTCTTCAAGAAGTGAGCGTCGCTTAACACTATTTTGGCGGAAGCCCAATCAGTCCTTAAATGTTATTAATAAGTAAGCTATTTTCTAATATGAATAAAACGTACTTAGCTCCGAGTAGCAAACACACTGATTCCATAACGACTTGAACCAGTTTTGGAGGTTTTTGAAACACTTTCACCTCATTAATATCGTTCTTGTTTAAAGATTCAAGTGCTTTGGTAGCTGCTTCTAGTGCAGGGAGAGCTGTATCTAGGTCTTTCTGAGCATCATCAGCTATGGCTTGAGTTTCTTCTGCTTTTACCTAAAACAATGGGTACCATTTTGAGATAAATATCAATATAAGATAATGAAAGATTTGAAATAAATAAAAATAATCCAATAATTGGGCAGTCTAAATAGTTCGTAGATGCATTAAGTACGTACTAATTTCATTAACATTTTCAGGTAACATTTTCTTGATATTTTAAACAGTGACGGCTGGTGACCATTTTGTTCAGGGGGCGCTGATTCGAGAATAAAAAAAATTAATAGGTGCTTACTGACAAAAAGCCTACTTTTTAAAATGAAACGAAATCTTTAGGTTTGCATCAGATATGAACGTCTTGCTTAATTTTTAACATGAGAGAGACGAGAAAAGATGCATCATTATGCGAAAGGCGAGAAAACTTCTTTTTTCACTTTCGGCAGTTGTTATTGGCTAAGATTTTGTACAATTCTGAAAAAAGTTGTTACTTCAGGGCAAGATTTAGCCATTTATCGGTGTAATTTGTCTATCAGCGAAGGCGCCAGGCGCGATTTTTACTGCGGACGGCGAATCCGTTTAAAGAAACATTGGGTATTGGTTACATGCATGGTACAATGAACACAAGGTATGATACGTAATAGTAATATTCCAAAAACGGTTCGCTTCGCGCATGACGTAGTCAAGAACGCTTCTTCACGCAACATTTAAATGTAGTTGTATAGGAAAGATTTTTAATTTTAAGTTTTTTTTTTATATAATTTTGGCTAATTACTATGTAGTCAATCCTAGCAACGTTTTTCATGTGGAATATATTAAAATCGTTATATGACAGTGATTACTTTCGTATATTTCCCTGAAAAACAAAACAAAGCTCTAATGCTGTTATAACTCTTTAAGAGTTAGAGTTACTATGTTTTCTATATTTTTAAAATTTAAATATTATTTTTAAAACTGTATTAAGTAATTTTATTATTTATTTATTATTTATATTTTAAACAAATTATATTATATTTAAATAATTCAATAAATTATGTTTGGTCTTACCGCCACCTGTTAACGTATTAACAAAGCATACCTTGTTTACTTGTGACAGACCTATCAAATTCAAACAAAATATTAAACTATATTAAAATATAAATAAACATCGTTTGATAGTAAATTTAATTATTATATAAACTAAATAATATGTTTATAAAAATAATAATTGTATTTATATAAAATTATTTTAAAACGAGAAGTTTTATTCAATATTGTTATTAATCGGATGACATTTATGACTTTTAAATTTTGACAATCGTTGCGAATCGAATCTTTTCTGCCCAAAAATAAATGTTATTCTGTAGAATCTTTCAAACACAACAAACCAAGTTAATATTAACCGTCTAAGAATTGACCATACTGTATTAGCACATAAATACACCACAAAACAAAACAAAAGAACCACTACGAATCTGTTCTAATCCACTGACCGTTAATCATATCCTGCTTGATTGTGTGCAATTCATGGAAGAAAGAAGATTTCACGAAACTACAGATGATGATCTAAAAACAGTTCTCACCCAAAAAATCCCAACAGTGTTAACCTGTTTAAAAGATATTAAGTTAAACAATTCTATGGTTGATGTAGTTTTTTGTTTAAATAAGTAATAAAAAATAAAGTTTTAACAGAAAAGTGAATGAATTATCAACAGAAATTTGAAAATAATTGAAACAAAAATATGAAAATGTAGTACCTAGCCCTCCCTCACCAGCCGCCATTGATTTTAAATACTTACTTTGGCAACTTCTTCGTCAGCTTTAACGATGGTACGAACTTTGTCAGCTTGTTTTTGTTCTTTACTGAGAAAGACCATCAATTCTTCGGCAGCTACTGATTTTTGTGCCAGAACAGGTTCCAAAGCCGTCAAAGTTTCTTTCATACTATCTATCACGTTATTAGTTTCGTATAATTTCTAAAATAGTAATAAAATTAGGTATTTTATTATTACCCGATACATTTAACAAGCAATAAGTAAATTAACCTTCAATCCGTTGTTTATTCTGTCTCTAGTTTTAGTTATTTTGTCTTTCTTCATTCCCAACATCGATTGGTATAGTTTGATCAGTTCTAAATAGCTGCTGGGTGTTGTATAATAGTATCTCTTCATTTCTTCATAGAATCTCACAGTCATCACCTCTACACTCTGAAAATATTTTATGTGTGCAAACAGTTCTATTAATTATTCCAATTAAACACTTTCTAAAAACTAAACTGTTTAAAATCAAATTAATTAAAAAATTATATAATAATAGAGTACCTCGTGCATTGCTACACAAACTCGTGCTAAACGAGTGGAAATATCTTCCCCTAAACTTATCATTTCGCTCTCTGCTACCGAAAGTAAAGCCTCCTGGGGCCATTTTTCAAACCAGTCGATAGTGCAACAGTTAACAAGAGATGGGAACATTCTACATCGTCTTCTACAAAATAAAAACAAGTTGAAAATTCAAAACAGTTCAGAAGAGTTCAATAACTGTTCACTTTGTTCACAAATGTACATTTGAAACAAAGACAGAACGTTTTAAGATTAGTGGATAAGTTATCAAGATTATACGAAACAAAATAAATGACTATTTTAGAGACATTGATTACCTAAAGGCGTCTCCTACAGGACTCATGCAGATAACCAGATGCAATTTAATTCTTACTCTGCTAATGAAGTGGTTGTATATTCCATCTCGATTGGCTTCATCTATTCCTGCTTGTTTGGCGGCCCCACGAACTCCTATAATTACATGTTCGTACTCGTCTGCTTCATATAGATTGGGAACTTCCCCTAAAACAAAAAAGTTAACGATACTGTTTCTTTAAATTTTAAACAAAACTGGATTATGATGTTAGTGTATTTGCACGTCCAAAATATTCATAATAATCAGTCCAAAACTAATGTTTGTTATGAAATAATATATAGTGCAGGTCTTGAAAACGTAGCTATTGTGAAAAATGAAGATGAGATCTTCTTCTTTCTATGCTGTCCCCATTAACGGAGGTTTGCGACCACATTTCTAAAAGTTTTTCTATTTTTTGCAACGTCAAACAATTCGTCTACAGTCATGTTTGTCCAGTCTCGAATATTTCGCAGTCATGACTTGCTCTTTCTACCTATTCCCTTTTTGCCATAGACTCTACCCTACATGATGACCTGCAGAAGACTATATTTATCATTCCTCAGTATCTGCCCAAGGTATGCAGTCTTGCGTACTTTTATTGTTCTCAACAATTTTTTCCCTCGACCCATCCTTCTCAGCACTTTCTCATTGGTGACCCTGGCAGTCCATGGAATTCTCAACATTCTCCGGTACATCCAAAGTTCAAAGACTTCAAGCTTCTTAGCTATTTGCACTTTTAACGTCCATGTTTCTACCCCGTACAATAGTTGGTACCAGACGTAACATTCAACAAACCTCAGTCTCAGCGCAGTATTCATATTTTTGTCACAGAACAATTGCTTGAATTTTAAGAACGCTGCCATTGCCATTTCTATTCGTACCCTGATCTCTTGGTCTGGAAGTCTTGATCTAATTTTGTATTGATGTAATCTTTCAGATATTAATATTTTGTCACTCTCTCTATTTGCTGTCCACCAAGGGTTATTTGTTCATTATTTATTGGACTACTTGATACTATCATAAATTTGGTCTTGTCTGTGTTGATGTCAAGTCCCATTTGAATGCATTCGCTATTTATTGCATGAAGATAACAGTAGATCTATTTTATTCTGTTAAGAGCATATAACACAGCAATATTACCGCTCGTGACATGTAGGATGACGTCTATAATATAATAATTGTCTTTTTGGTAATGAAGAATCAGTTGATTTCATAGACATATAATACTAAATAGGCTGACTGCTGCAATACAGTCGCGTTCGCTAAGTGCGACAGAGAAAACTATCGCAAAGCAGTCCCTCCAGCTCTTTCTAATGAGCCGGGTTTATCGACCACGTGACTTTCTCATTGGTCATTTAGCTCAGGTGGTCAATAAACCTGGCAAATTACAAAGAGATGCAGAGACTGCAAAGAGAGATGTTTTGTGTCAGTCTACCCTGTCGCACTGGGGAAATGAACTAGTACTGCAACGATTAGTCTGCTATTGCTATTGCTATTGCTATTAGTCTCATTCCAAAAAGCTAGATTTCTTGGCGATTATTTTAAAATAAAAATTCTAGTTTACCTGAATTAAGTAGATTATTGATGTCTTCTAGAAATTCTTCCTGAACTATCTGAGTATCAGTAAACAGAAACACACTGTCTTCAAATTCCACGCCTGCGTGGAAGCACATCTTTCTCAAGTCTTCAAAGAATGCCATGTGGTCGTAGTTTCTCGTCAGTTCTATTTGAAAACACCTAAAATTGTGTATAATTTGTATAAGTACAGTAAAATTTGATACAGATAGAAAACTTGGTATATTTTGGCCTTTTATGGGAAGAAAACTATGTGAGTAGGAAGAATAAATAAGTTATTTATCGTTTCAAACATTGTAGATTGAACTCTACTTGTGTCGGTTGTAGGATGAACTGAGTAGCTCCACATCCGGTGCAGCCAGACCCAAGTCGGAAAAGGGGAGGGATAGAGGAGTAACACCTCTATAAAAAACCATGACACAACGTCAAAAAACGGAAGAACTAGACAGCAAAGGCTGATCTGATTGTTATAACAGACAATTGGTCTAGAGAGAAAGAACGAAGAGCACAGAAAGGAGTAGGGAAACTAGTAAAAAGAAATACAAGATAAACCTCACAAACATCGATATACCAAATTAATAAATAAAGAAAATACACATGAACGTTATAGAAAGAATACTGGCATACATGTTTAACCCACAGATAACCAACCAGTCCAAACTAAAAAAAAACTATTTGATGAAGTGGGAAGAGTGATTGACGATACAGGAAATAATGGAGAGAAAACACTACTAGGTGATTTTAATAGTGGGATTGGTGAAAAGAATTACGATAAAGTAGTATGATAACAAGGCGGAAACGAAGTCACGGATAACAGACATTTACAGAATATAACTCCTTGTGATGAACGGCTATAATAAACATAGAAAAACATACAATAAAGAAAAAGTAATACAACGCCAGCATAGAAACTTATAAAAGCGATATATAAAGGAAATTGTAAATATGCCCTGGAAGCTTATAAGCATGACCTTGGAACATTACCCCATCACTTTGACCCCAGGCAGTTAATAAAGAGAAATGACAGCATAACTCTCTCACGAAGACTTTAACCAATCATTTATTTTAACACAGTCTCGGGTATCAATAAAATAATCAAGCGAAGCTTAATTACGCAATGTCAATTCTGTCAGAAGTTATGACAGATCTTCCGTTTGTTTACAAGTTTTCAATTTTATTTTATTATCTTTAACTTTTGTTTGCATTTATTCTTAGTAATTTTAATTTAAGTTGGTTACTTAGTTTTTAAAGTTTAGTTTGACTTACCTATTGAAGCAAATAATTTTTGTGTTGTGCTAGTAAAAAAACTAAACATGGTGAATTATTGTTTTGTTCCGTTGTGTACAAATCATGGAAAAATTACAAAAAGGATGATGATAGTAAGTTGTCAGGAAGCAAACAATAATAGTATTTAACATTTGTTTCTGAAAATATGTGTAATAAATATTATGTAATTAGTTTATAACTGTTTTATCTTAAACACCAAATAAATATACGTATATCTAGAAAAAATTGTGTATTTTTTATATATCCTTTTAGTTTTCAACAATATATGTGATATTATTTCATCAGAAAATAGTAAGATATTTTCCAGTAAATTTTAATTAGTAACGACATAGACGGCAAGAGGCACTAAAGGCATAAAGGGTATGTATGTAAGGGATGTCCATTTGAATTTCCCTCCAAAAGATGATTAGTAATGAGCCCAGCCGCAAGGGGTCCTAATGAACGAAATTTATACATTGAGTTGCCTATTTATTTCTAATATTATATTATTTATCTATGATTGTAAACATGATGACGGCCAACTTCTGAATACAAACACGGCACTCAAAGAAGAAGATAGAAGCTTCTCTCCAATAAGACATTTAGCAACCATAACAAAGCATTTCGAGATATTACATTATCATATTTGAGTTGTTTTAATAAGAACAAACTAATAATTATGCTTATTCACAGGTATTCAGTGCTTTACCGCAAAATTATCACAACTAAGAATGATTATGCAGCTGACTTATAAAATGCGATTATCTCGAAAATGGTTAAATTTTGAAGTTATTAATAAGTATACCTTTCTTTGTAAAAATAATGTGTCTTTAATATTTTTTAATAAAAATAGGGCTAACTTAAAGAAAACAAAAATTAAGCGCAAATTTATGCCACATATGTGTCATATGTGGCGCCCTCTATCAGCTACATCAAATTATGCATCAAATTATAATTACTCCTACTCAAAAGCATCCAATTGTAAATTTTTGTCCATAAATATTTACAAACGTGAAAGTTATAGCGAAAACTAAAATTTTAAATTTCCACTTTGTATCTTTCTTAATATCAACATTTTACTAAAACAAGTTGACTTAACCCATTAATGCCCAAAATTAAATTTTTATCAAAATTAAATCAAAACTTCAGAATGAAATAAGGAGAGGTTATTTTTAATAGTAATGTGCAAAATTTACGGTTTTTTTCTTTGTAACTCTCTTTTTTTTAACGTATGATATATCATACGCTGGGCAATGAAGGACACAATATTTCATAAAACATTATTTATTTTAAAATTTTTACAACGTGTGATATTTGACAAAACATTGCTTGGGATGAAGTCCTACATTACATTTAATGCATCGATATTTGGTACACTTGCCACATTTGCCGCACCTTCGTTGTTTTTCAATTTTGTCCACCAAATGACCCACATTATCCAAACGAATTTCGTCAGCAACATTTTTTGAAGACTTTGGACGTACTCCACGCGGCGTTGGAATATCTGGAGCTGTCAGCAGGGCCTCCACAATTCGCCTGTAAAATTCTAATAAAGAAATTGCCTCAATGTTGCGGTAAAGAAGCCACATGTTGACTATTGCCCCATTCAAGCAAAATCTAAATATCGCCCAATACCATTTTTTAGATCGAATTCGAATCCTATATAAACCTCGTAGCTTATCGAATAAGTCTACACCACCCATTCCCTTGTTATACATTTGCACAACGTTTGGTTGAGGGACCGCTATAATTTTTCTGTCTTTTCTGGACCATCTGTTACAGTTTCCAATAGTAAATACTTCTGGAGTTGAAATGTTAGTTGCCATAGTAACTTCATTATTGTCATTCCAGCGAACAAGAGTGAGCTGGTGTTCTTTGCTATGTAGAGCGTGGGAAGTTCCACGAATTTCTTTTTTTATTTCTTTGAGTGGGGCTCTTTCAATCCTGTCTTTTCTAATTGTTCCGATACAGTGTATCTTTTGATCTCTTAACCTTGTCAGTAAAGGTAAAGATGTAAAAAAATTATCAATATATATATAACAGATTCTTGTGGTAAAAACCCTATACACAGCTTTTCGGTTACGGAACTTCCTAACGAGTTACCCTGTAATTTATCTCCACTTCCAGTATAGGGATGAAATTTTGCAAGGTAACCTTTACTGGTCGCAACGCACCAGAATTTATATCCGTAACGGATGGGTTTTCCTCGAATAAACTGCTTCATTGAATGATGTCCATAATACGGCTCCATAGCTTCGTCCACTGAGAAACTTCCGTTCACTGGCTGGAGGTAATTATGAAAACGTTCATTTAGATGGTCAATTAGAGGTTGAATTTTGAACGCTTTATTGTTTTGTTGGTACAACGTATTATCGTTAAAGTGTAAAAATCTATGAATCTGTTCAAATCTGTTTCGACTCATAGTGTTACTTACTAGATGTGAGTGAGAGTCCCCTCGACATTCCCAATACATTCTCCTAGAAGGCAATGGGTGGTATCCAGAGAGAATAAGGATGCCAAAGTATTTATATAAATTATCAACGGACAAAGAGAAAGGACAAGATTTTTGTGAAGCGTACTTTACCGTTTCTTTACAAAGATAGTCCATGAATTTTTTCATCAAAAAATAATTTAAATACATCGATTGGCTTCACATTTTGTTGTTTCCATTCATTTATTATTTGGGGTTCCATATTGTTTTTGAAAATATCATTTTATGGCTCCCTTTTCCAGTTTTTTTTCTTCCCACTTACGATCGATTCTTTTTATAGATTTTTTTCTGTTTTCAGAATCTTGTGAAGTTTTTGCAACCTCCCTTTTTCTTTTGTTACCTGATTCGTGAGTTTTTAGTCACCGTTGTATTTGACAGCACTGTTTTCTCAATTGCTGTATTTTTTCGAGAAACAGCTGTAATATCCATGCTTTGAGACAGTGTACCTCGGCCAATACTTTGAAAAGTGTAATTCAACTGGTCTTCCTCATCACTTCCGGCATCATCTCTGTCAGAATCATTTCCGTCATTTGGATAATGCAACGTAAGTTGAACTTCGTTACACTGGTCAATTTCCTGAGCCAAAGTATCGTCATCTTCTAAACTCTCATATATTTTTTAACAATTCCTCTGCATCTTTGGGATTATTCGGATCATATTTTTTCGTCATTTTTTCTAAAACAGAAACAATATTGATTAGTTTGCCACGAGTGCCCAGCGTATTATATATCATACGCAAGAATCAAAGACCTTCAAAATACTTACTGGTATAAATTTCAATACTATTTATATCACTATTCGTTATTTAGTAGCCTTATGAGTTGATCACTACAAAATATTTTTCAAAATAGATCGAAAAAGTCCCACAAATTCTCCTAAAATACAATCGGTGTACTATAATATAACCTAACAAAACTTAGCGCAAAACTAATCACCCTTTACCGCCAAGCGGTCATAAATTTCTAATTTTATGATAAACAGTTACCTTCCAACATCTATTCTGTAACTTAAATTGGGAAAACAACTAATGTATACTTTTTTTTCTGACTAGTAGATGGCGAAATATGTAACAATGTATCGCGTATTATATAAAATACGGTGGGCATTAATGGGTTAAATCGTAATATTTAATAAAGTAAGTATAAAATTAAATGAGTATAAATCATTTGTGAGTGACCCAAAAAGTGGGTTCATCTCGACGTTTCGCTACAATTATATGTAGCTTCTTCAGGAGAACAAAGAAAAAGGAAAAAAGAAAACAAAAGAACAGAAGATGGGTAGTTAGCAACGGTAACTCAGTTACTCAACGCAACCAGAGGCGAATACTAACTACCAAGATGGGCATTTCCTTGGTAGTATACTTGGCGAATACTAACTACCTTGGTAGTTAGTATTCGCCTCTGGTTGCGTTGAGTAACTGAGTTACCGTTGCTAACTACCCATCTTCCTGTTCTTTTGTTTTCTTTTTTCCTTTTTCTTTGTTCTCCTGAAGAAGCTACATATAATTGTAGTGAAACGTCGAGATGAACCCACTTTTGGGTCACTCACAAATGACACGGTCCAAACCCGGAAGACGAATAAACTATAATTAAGTATAAATTACTTAAGGACCACCCTGTATATATATATATATATATATATATATATATTCTTAGAAAGGGCTTTAGTGACTATGTGAGTAATATATACTGATATCTTGGGTTTTGTAGTCAATATTGGCCTTTAAGTAAAACTCTTTTAGGTTTGTTAGCTTTCGAGTTTATTGTACTCTTTTTCAAAACGTACCTTGTGAGGATTGTATTTTAAAATTAGCAAAATTAATAAACATGATGACATTATTAAATTTGATGACCAGTAATTTGAAAATCGTTAGCTTACTTACTTGTACATGTTTAGATGTGCAGCCAGTTTGGTCAAACTTTGTTTTCCCATACCACCCACGCCTACTAGCAACGAATTACCGCGTTCTGATCTTAACACTCTGGCAATACGAATACAATGCTCAACAGCCATCATAAAAAATATGAGCTTCATTTCTTTAGCGGTAGTTAAGTTAAAATCATCTAAATAATCCTGAAAAATCGAAAAAAAGAATATAAAATATGAATATATTACAAGGAAAGATAAATATGAAATCATACATACTTGTAATACATTTTTGAGCTTGTCAATATTCTTCAATTCTTCATATACTCTGTTTTTCTTTTCTGCTCCCATTTGTATAAAATCGCCAAATAGCAAAATTGGTGGATTTTGTATAATTTCTCCTTCTGGTAGCTCTATTACAGGAGTTCCGAAGTTTCGGACACAAATATCCTTCATCAGAAGATAGAAATAAGATTTATCTTCGACGTTTATGAGTCGGTCATGGAAAACTCTTAAGCATTCGTGATAAAATAGTCTCAACATATCGACTTCTGTGCGCATAGACCCTGGATCGGCTTGGTGATCCCTTGGATGCATTTAGAGAGATCTCTGAGATTGAATACATAATGAGATTTAGCTGGGGTTGGGAGAAGATCGCTTTCTATCCTTTGATAGATATCTACAGCTGCATTCACCATGTATTCAGTCAAATCTCGTATTTCGTTGGTAAAAGGATTTAGGAAACCTCTCAAAATAGATTTAAAAATGACTTTCAGCGCTACTTCACTGGGTGGCGGAATGAGCAACATGCCAAAATGTCTCACAAATCGAGCTGTTAAAGGATTTCTACCACCACCAGGAGGTGCACATGCTACGGTTATTATTACGTCTCTGATGTCCTTCCAAAACAGTTTTTCTCTATCGTAGAGACCTCCGTAGTCTAACAGTTGCCTAAAATAGTTCATAATAAAATGATGGTCTGAAACCTAAAGAATTTAAAATATCATGTCAGTGTCAATATAGAATTGATGATGAAGGGTCGGATAAAAAGTGAGAATGAAAGAAGAGATGGGGAGAGTGAAATAAATATAATTGATTAGGCAATCGATGAAATAATAAAAATGCAGATAAAGTAAAAAACAATAAAAAGATGCCCCAACGAGAATCATCATACAGAAACAATAGTGATTGTAAATGTGTGTGTGTGAGAGAGAGAGAGAGAGAGAAAAGAAATTCAACAAAAGAATAAGAAATAATATGAAATAAATACAAACTCAATTGCAAAAGTTGGGTGTAACAAAATAAAGAGAGAAAGAAGAACTAAGAAAAAGGTACCATATAAAAAAATTGATGGACTTGGGGGAAATATTTGTTCCGTGGCGGTGTGGATGCGTGTGTGATAAACTTATTTACCACGGAAACAAAAATAAAAAATAATCAAATCGAATAAAACATAAAAAAACTGTTAATAATATTTATTTTTGTAAAAACGCAATTAATTCTCGAAGGAAAGGTATTTTTTTGTATATGTATAGCAGACCGGTGCAAATTGTGTCTCCATCTTTACTAAAACTAAATTCAACACATAACACACGTTCTTTGTTTTTAAAAGCCAGACGATAAGCTTTTATTATCGGGCTGGTCGTTATATTATATTTCGTTTCCCATAAATGCAACGTACTCAAAATGTATAAAGTGTCTAGCATATCTGTAGTATTTAAATACATATATTGAGGAACACATTTCAATTTTTATTTCATTTCTATTCCGTATGTGTATAAACAATTGCGAAAATGTAAATTTTAATACAAGATTGTTTTATTTAATTTTTTAAATACAAAAGTTTAATTATTTGTAATTAGCTTGTCGCTACATATTTATAGAAAGAAGAAAGAGAAAACCAAGGAAACAAAAATGGAACATGTTATATTCACTACGTGCAAGTTTCGAAGAGCGACACCTACTGGCATAAATCAGCGAAGGTGTTAGCACTATTAATATTTTAGTCTTTATGCGTGTATATTCTTTCTTATTAAATTAGCTGCAAATAAAGTGACTTATACTTGTTTATTTAATACAATAATTATTGTAATATATATCAGTAATTAACTTGAAAAATGTTTAATTGATTTTTGACTGTAAAAATTTGCAAGTATATTTTGTACGTTTAGATTTCATTATTTGACATTTAAGATTGAGGTTATGAGGTTAGTAAAAGGTAAACATTATATGTAGTAAAAATTAAAAATATAAAATTAATTATCAAATTGCAGTTTTACTATTAATATGGATGCAATAATAAAAACTAGATTCCATAAAATAAATCATAAAATAACTTTTAAACCAACTAGGTACTGAGTTAAAGGAAAAAGCTTTAGTTGTGGCAAACCACGTTTAAAATGTAGAAGAATTAAGAAACAATGGGCATATCTATTTAATTCAACAAGTGTTATTAGACAAACCTCAGTCACATCTGAGCCAAATGATGCCAGAATATATGTAAGTTCATCATCATCAATTAGCCTATATTTGTCCACTGCTGAACGTAAGCCTCCCGTAAAATTTTCCACCTATTTTTATCTTGAGCTTCTTGCATCCAGTTTGTGGTGATGCGCTTGATATCCGTCCATCTAGTCGGTGGTCGTCCTCTGCTTCGATATGCATCTTGCCTTGGTCGCCATTCCAGAATCTTTCTGGTCCATCTATCATCCGTTAATCTGGCAACATGTCCGGCCCAAGCCCATTTAGCCATGGCTATTTTCTCAACTGTATCTGTGACTCCTGTTCTTCTTCTTATTTCTAGGTTCGGTACTTTATCTCTGATGGTAATATCTAATATTGATCTTTCCATAGCGTGTTGTGTAACTCTTATTTTATCTCTTGTTCTTTTTGTCGGAGTCAGTGTTTCTGCAAATGTAAGAACTGGTAAAACGCACTGGTTAAAAACCTTTATTTTTAAACAAACTGGGATACTAGACTTGAAAATGTTATTCAATCTACCAAAGGCAGCCCATGTGAGACCTATCCTTCTTTGTATTTCAGTTGTGTGACTATCTCGGCCTAAGCGAATCTCATGCCCTAGATATTTGTAAGCTATTATTTGGTCGATGTTACGGCTCTCAATCAGAATTTTACCGCTGACTACAAGGTTGGTCATAAATTCTGTCTTTGAGGTGTTCATTTTAAGACCAATTGCTTTTGTCACTTTATAGAGCGTGTACAGTATTTTTGTAGCTTTATCAACTCTATCAGATATTAAAACGATGTCATCGGCAAATCTTAGGTGGTTCAGATCTTCCCCATTTATATTAATTCCCATATTATCCTCTCGTTCCATTTCCTTGAACATATATTCAAGAACAGCTGTAAACAATTTAGGAGAGATAGTATCACCCTGTCTAATTTCACGTTCTATTCGAAACTTCTTGATATCTTCATGAAGGTGGACAGAATCTATACCATTTCGTAAATACTTTTAATTAAGGCGATATATTGGTAGTCAATGCGGTAGTCAGCCAATGCTCGAAGCATTTTATGATGATCTATAGTATCGAACGCCTTTTCATAATCTACGAATATAAGAAAGATGCTTGTTATACTCTGTATACTTTTCTATTAGCGTTTTTATAATTTGTAGATGATCATTTGTTGCGTATCTGGAGCGGAACCCCGCCTGTTCACAAGGTTGGTAACTATCCAGTTTGTTCACAAGTCGTTTTGTTATTATCTTCATGAATAGTTTGTATATATGGTAGAGCAAACTAATTGGATGGATATTATAGCATTATACCACTGGGAGGGGGTTGCGCCTCTTGTCAAACATCTTCTCCAGGTGATTTATTGTTTTTCATCTCCGAAAGAGCTGATTTTATTTTCTCTGTTGTGATATCTAGGATGTCTTCTGAGCCTACATTTTAAATTTTTTGTATTTGATTTTGATCAGGATCTGGAAGTTCTTCTCGCTTATACAATTCTGAGTAAAAATCTTGAGCAATTTTTAAAATATCTTCCATATCTTCCAAAAGTTTACAAATATTTTTCGACCCTTCAGTCATTTGCCGGCGCAGAAACCTTTAAACTTTTATTTTTATCAATGGCTTGAGTTATGTATTCGGTGTTGTAATTTCTGACATCTTTTCGAATGGATTTTGTGATATTTTTGTTTAACTGTCTTTAGTGTTACAAAATTATCTGTATATTTGTCTTTCAATTCTCTTCTTTCGTTTATAAGATCTTTAGTACCTTGAGTGAGTTTATCCATCTCGTTTTTTTCCTTTTTCCTTATATTTTCTATGTGCGTTTCGAATCACACTATTTATTCGCATGTTTGTCACCTCTATATCTAATGCATTTTCATTTAGATGTTCTACTTCTTTCAATTCTGAAGTTATGAGATTCTGATAAGCTATGATCTATCTTCTATCGATTTCCATGTATTAGAATGCCTCTCTGTTATCATGCTATCCTCTCTCGACTAATGTTGATCATTATTTTTGCTCTAACCAACCGATGGTCACTCCCAACAGTGATTTTATTAATTACTGTAACATCTTGGACAATATTTTTTCTGTTTGGGATGATGAAATCAATTTCGTTTTTTGTTATGCCATCTGGACTAGCCCACGTTCACTTACGTTGTTGGTTCTTTTTGAAGAATGTGTTCATGACATAGAGCCGGTGATGCAACAAAAATGTAGTAGCACACCTCCTCGAGCCCATAGCCACTTCTGCGTAATCATCTTTAAATCCAAGTTAGGCGTTAAAATCGCCCATTACGATTTGGTGGTGGGTTTTATCTTTTTCTATAGCTCTAGCTCTATTTATATCTTCATAAAAGTTTTCCATTTCTTCATCGCTATGGCGAAATGTAAGTTACTGTTTAATAAATGTTCTATAATTTTTCAAATAAGTGTCCAATTCCAGTATAAACCAATAAACCATTAAGGTTTATTTCTTTTTTTTTTAGATTGATGACAAAATAATGATTACAGATGTATCTTGAAATTGTGTGTACAATAAAAGTAAAAAGTGCAAGCATTTTGCTGCTATTATTTATTTTGTAAATAACGAGAAAGTTTATCTAATTTGAGTTATGTTACTTACTTCTGCTCTATTATGATATAAATCTACTTTTCTCGTTGCATTAATTTGTGCTTAGAAGTTGGAAACCGATAGAACTTGAATTTACTATTTTTTGTTGTATATTTTACAATTTATAACACAATATTTGCGAAATCCCATTTTCTTCAATAACTACTTATGAAATATGCTAACAAAGTTGCAAGATTTCACCGATGCACGCACAGGATCGTTTTTCGAACACAGCGAATAGAAATTAATAAACAAAATAAAGCAAAACTAAATTAAAATAAAAAGAGAGTAATAGAGAAAACACAGAGAAGAACCGGATGTATAAACTAATATAAAATGAACTAGAATAAATCAACACAAAAGGAAAAGTTAGATGACTAAAAAAATACAACAGACAGCTCATGACAAATGACAAATGACAAGTAACAAAAATGAATACAAAAAATAATAAAGCAATAAATATAAATAATAGCAATAAATGAAAAGAAAAGTAAATGAAAAGAAATGTTTGAGATACAATGGAAAAGCATAATAGAAACAAGAAATAAAACGGAAGAAAAAACGAAAAATGACAAAAATTTACTTAAACTTAGTAGGTACCTGAGAAGTTCAATAGGAGGTTGTGCTCCATACGTGTCCAATTTGGGCATATTGACATCGTCTACGAAGATAACCACTTTTTTACCGACTGGCGCACCTATCAACGTTCTCTTCTTTTTCTCCAACTTTAGTTCGATAATTTCTTGCGTTCTAGCACTGCTAGTTTGGGCTGAAAAGTTTATGGTAGCCGGAACGAATTTCTGGGTAAGAAATAATCTATGTAGGCAATCTTTTGCTACCACAGATTTACCAACACCTTAAACACACAAAACAACACGAATACAATACCTGAGAAACTAAATCAATATATTGTGTATGTTATTTATTTAAATATAACTTATTAAACTTACCTGTTTCGCCTGTTATAAAAACCGGGCTGTCAACGTAAATAAGTCTTTCCATGATATATCCAAAACGTACAGTATCCATTGTAGGAACTAAAGTTTCAAAATAAGATAGCTCTGGGCTGTATTTGAAAACAGGTATAATTTTGGTCCAAAGTTCCATTCTGTGAGATACTACATCCATGTAGAGATCCCAAAGATCGTAACTGGCTTGTATCCTAAAATTATCGAATAAAGGAGAAATAAGTAATGTTGTGTTTATAATGGGACTTTTATCTCTTTACATATTTATCTTTCACATATGGTTTCTATAAACACCACATCTCTTTAAATCATCTCATGTCTCTCCTATATCTCAATGTTCTTTGTATATACTGCTTCATGTTTTTTACCAATATGTCTCATTTCTAAAGTTGTAAAGAATGTTTATTTCGTGAGCAATAATTCTTCTATGCAGATATTGATGTGTCTGACCAATATAATATGTTAGATTACAGTCCTTACAATTAATTTTCTAAGCAACATTTTGTTATGTGATGAGAGACATTATTAAGATTTTGTATGTAGGTACATATTAGAACTATTAATTAATATTATGTAATATCAAATATTATTTAATATTGAAATGGTGTTAAGATTGTGTAATATCGAGTAAGTAATTGTATCATTATTTTTGTAAAATAGTATCTATAGTGACCCTATTTTACAAAAAATTAGTAGTAAATTTAAGCCTGCAGTGAGTCCACGAACTGGTCCTACTGAAGTGTCCTTCCATTCATAATTGACACTGTGAACAATATTTACCCATGATTCGTCCAAATATACAATGTTGTAGTGTTGTTCCCGAAATGTACTTTGCTTTTCTTAATTAGTATATGCAGTGTAGTTCTAGAAAAATTAGGTAGATGTTCGTCTTTATTTACTACTGCGAATAGAGAATGTAATGTTGGGGGTGTATTCTTACGAAAAAAATCATGCACTATTCGACGAATACCACTTTTTATTCCTTCATCATAAGTTTTATCACGCGATAATGAAGTTAGCTGGTTCTTGGATCGTCTCTTTGCTGGTTGTAATCCAAGTACCGAGAAATTTTCTTTTCTTGCAGGGTAAATTGTTTTTTTTCGAAAATCCCGGTTTCTACTGCCACTGTTTGTATTATTTTTGAAAGTGAATTATATCCATGATTTACACGATAATTCACAATGTTGACTAAGATTTGCTTCTCCCCTAATGACAATGCCTTCCCCTGGAGATTTTTCAGTGTACTGTTCTCCATTAATAAATTCAATCTTTATAACACAAAACCACAATAATAACTATAGTCGATATGAACTTCAACAAATTAAATGAACTAAGTAAAAAATTAACTCTTCTTCTCCTTCTAGTTCCATGACCGATATCGATCGTTGGATATCATGTTGGCTACCATATTCGCTATCGTGACTTTATTGACAGCAGCTTTAAATAACGATGTAGTTGATTTTCTATACCATTGCCTTAGATTTTTCAGCCATGATGTTCTTCGTCTACCAGGACCACGATTACCTTGGATCTTTCCCTGAATGATCAGATGTAAGAGATCATATTTTTCAGGGTGTCTCATAATGTGACCGAAGTATTCCAGCTTGTAAAAAAAAATTAACTCTGCTTGATTTAATAATTTAATTAATTTTGCTTGATCGTATTCACGAGGTAGGAGAGGAAATGGGCATTAAAATAAACTCAAACAAATCCAAGTTTTTAGTGTTTAGTCGTGACACACATCCCGATGCAAAGCTTCAATTGAACGGAGTCCAAGTTGAGAAAGTTCACAAAATGACATATTTGGGAACTGTGATAACGGATCAACTAGATCCAGACATAGAAATAAAACGTAGAATAGCAATGACTAAAACTACTTTTATGAAAATGAAGTCATTTCTTTGCAATAAACATCTCAATTTAGAACTAAGGCAAAGAATGGTTAAGTGTTATGTTTGGACTGTACTTTTGTATAGTGCAGAAGTGTGGACGCTAAAAGTATCGATCATGAACAAAATTAAAGTAGGTATTGGAAATGTGGGTTCATAGACGAATGCTGAAGATACCTTGGACAGCAAGAAAAACTAATGAAGAAGTACTAAGGAGCGTCAACAAAGACAGAAAACTGCTAAAGACTGATAAACATCGAAAAATGTCTTATCTGGGGACATATAGTAAGGGGAAGTTGATATAAAATTTTACAAACTGATCCTTAAAGGCAAAATAGAGGGCCGTAGAGGTGTAGGAAGAAAACAAGTTTCTTGGTTAAAAAACATTCGTGAATGGACTCAGATACCAAATGCAAGACAATTATTCCATATTGCAGAAGATCGAGAAGCCTTCTCAATGGTGATCGCCAACGTCGGATAGTTCTGATATGGCACGCGAAGAAGAAGAAAAAATGAACTAACTGAACAACTAACAATTAATGAACTTCAACGAATCAAATGAACGTCAACGAATCAAATGAGCTGACTAAAAAATGAACTAACTAAAATTAATTTCAAGTTTAGAATTTATACTAAATTTTAATGAGGGTGTAAACACATTAAAATGACATTCATTTCAGGTTGGAAATCAGATGTGAAGAATAACAAAAAACTGCAATTAGGATCCAAATTTTCCAAATAAACAATGAATTACTCAATACAATGATATCAGTAATAATTATAAGCTTATTTGATATATTCTTTGTTATAATTTAATTTAGGTGCACTGGCCATCAAAAATTATAATTTATTTATTCTCAACTATAGGACAATATAAAACTTTGCTTATAGTCCAGGCTGTGAGGCCGCTCCCGTTGGGAAAATGTTTCTGATTCGGTTTCTTCGCGGATTCCGGTTCAAAAATGTCCCCTTTAAACAAATCTGAAGGGTGCCGGGCGAAATTTTTGGACAGAAATTGTTTAAACAACTTTTTTTTAAACAAATTCCAAAAATATTTTTTTTAATCTGGAAAACATTTTTTTAGGTTTTTTAGGTCATTTTAAATAAAAAAGGTCTCTTGTCATTTTTCTCTAAAGTTAACAGTTTTTCGAGTTATAAGCGATTTAAAGTCTGAAAAACGCGAAAATACGCATTTTTGAGGCTTGAAAACACATATGTAAATTATTATTTTTGAGGTTACCAAGTGTCTAAATTGAAGTTTAAACATTCAACTTCAAGATTGTGAAGAGTAAACGGGGCTTATTTTAATTTAGACCGTTGTTTTTTAATTGTTCTAGAAATAGAGTGCGCTTCTATCGTACTTATGCATAGTTTACATATACACTTACGCAAAAAACCCGAACAAATCCTTGAAGTTTATTAACATAGTTTTTCCATAATTTATTTATGTAGGTATTAATTATTGTCATTGGGCTAATTAAATAAATCAATCATCGCAATGTAATAACCGTATATAGTTTTTTTTTCTTCCAAATTTGAACAATATAATTATTATTTATTGAGTATATATTTATTTATATCAATTGTAAATAATATTTTTAAACTATTATTTAAATAATACAATGCAGTAAATATTAATATTAGTAAACTTAATTTTAAATTGCGCGGTGTTTAAAAACAATATACTATCGCAAAAATGCAAGTTTTTACCTGTTTAACAATCGCGCGCTCATACTTGATTTGTTATTACTTAAACGATCATTAGCAAGACTATTGTTTAATGCCCATTAAAAGGGTATTATATTATTAATGTGTTATTAAAAAAATTGTGAATGGATTTAAAATGTCTTTTTCCGTACCTCTTCTTAAATGAAAACTTACCGAAGAAAATTTAGTTTGTATTTTTTGTAATAACATCAGCAATATTAAGTTAGTGCAAAATCCTAAAGTAGATTTTTACATAACAATACAAAATGCTGCTCTTCGACGAAAAGACAGTGTGACTGAAACATTTAATTTAATCTAGCCAATATACCTTGTACCTCTGACGCACTTTACCAACACTTGTTAAGAACTTTCGCTAAAACATATATTTGGCAAAATGCCATATATTCCGCTATCAAACTCTCGATTTTACACAATATGGATATTATATGTCTGACAGTGGTGGGTTGGGAAACCGTGCAAATGCAAAAAGACTTGCAAAATTAATGCTTGCAACTGCAAGAAAAATCATGTCAACTCTGTACCATTATGTGGATGTGATTTAGATTTTTGTGAAAACAAAGATACTTTCACTGAGTGATATTAGTGTGTTATTTAAAAATCTTTTGTACAATTATTTTATGTAACTATTATTAGACTTTAGATGAAATTTATATTATAACTCAATTGATATAAATAAATATATACTCAATAAATAATAATTATTTGTAAGTATATGTAAACTATGCATAAGTACGATAGAGGCGCACGGTAGCGCGCGGCGCCGCGGCGGCTGAAAAATCGAGTGTACGCGCATACTTAACAATTAAAAACAACGGTCTAAATTAAAATAAGCCCCGATTACTCTTCACAATCTTGAAGTTGAATGTTTAAACATTAATTTAGACACTTGGTAACCTCAAAAATAATAATTTACATATGTGTTTTCAAGCCTCAAAAATGCGTATTTTCGCGTTTTTCAGACTTTAAATCGCTTATAACTCGAAAACTATCAACTTTAGAGAAAAATGACAAGAGACTTTTTTGTTTAAAATGGCCCAAAAAACCTAAAAAATGTTTTCCAGATTAAAAAAATTATTTTTGGACTTTGTTTAAAAAAATTGTTTAAACAATTTCTGCCCAAAAATTTCGCCCGGCACCCTTCAGATTTGTTTAAAGGGGACATTTTTGAATCGGAATCCGCGAAGAAACCGAATCAGAAACATTTTCCCAACGGGAGCGGCCTCACAGCCTGGACTATTAAACTTGACTGACAATCTATTTTATATTTTTCTTGACATTACTTCAGAACTGTCTATACTGTTAATACATAAAGTTATTAGTGGTCTGTGTACACAAATTAACAACCATAGAAGACCATCCACTTTTAATGTTGGATATTCTAATATTCTTTACCAAAAAAGTTCTTTATCGATTATAAAATTGCTAATTACTTTTCGAAAATGACTATTACCACAGAATACTAATCACAACTTAGTGTTCTGTGCTATTAATCGGTGGCGGTTCCTTCATAAGTACACATGTGCACGTGCACTCCCACAATTAT